GTAGCCCAACATTTAACAAGAATACTCTAGCAAGTGAAAACTCTAAAACAGGGTAAGGCATGGACCATTCCTGTAATCCCAACACGAAGTGGATGGAGACAGGGAGAGGAGTTGAGTTCAAGGCCAGCCTGGCCTATACACACTGTGTCTCCAAACAGAAGGGATGAATGGGGAAAATGAAGGAAAAAAAGAATAAACAGAAAAGATGAAACAATAAAACAAGACAATTCTGAAATGGGAATTAATTCTAGGAAGTTAGGATGAAGCACAGTAATGATCTGTGATGGACTGCGTCCCAGGACACCTGGCTGTCAGAGCTGGGCTCCATTAAGGATTGCCTGCAGAGTTGGAGTTTGCTGGCTGTGCTTTTTCATTTCTCTTCATCCCAACAGTCGTAGGCATTCAAAATTTCAAGATACTGATATACAAATATGTATGCCCTGGCTCTTTAAGTGTTTTCTTCTCATGATGTGTTTGAATTAACCAAAAGCGCATGTCAAATCTCTAAACTGATTTCCCTTTTAATGTGTAAGAGGATCCACTGTCCTTGCCCTGTGTAGCAGCTGTCTTCAGCAGCAGTATGAAAGTTTAGAGTCTTCAGTTCCTTTACGCTGGAAAGTTTCTGCGGACAAACATCTATAATGCACACACATTTAACAAAGGTTTTACCAGAAGGAAGCCAAAGAGAAGCCCAGGAGAAAAAAAGGGGGATGAGAAACCATGTGTGTTTTACAGTAAATTAATGCACTACATCCTCAATTGTGATTGGGCAGCAGATATTGCTTTTATTAACTGGGGATTTTTGTGTATGAATCATGACAAGGGAAGATTCAAAACATTTTGCAGCAGAGGAGATGTGAGATTAAATTAGGCACACTATCTTTTGGAAACAGCATAAACACTACACTGGAATGGCCTTCCATATTTTCAAACCAGCTCCTGCTGGAAGCCTATGAATTACACATCTTCAAAGCATAGTGTTGTCTGAATACCACTTCTAAGATCGTCTCCTATTAATTTAACTGGAATTTAATAAGCACCTCATTTGTTTCTCACTTTTCATTAACTTGCAGTTTCTTCAAAACTACACATATTTTATGTGAATCTGGTAATGTTTATATAAAATATATATACATGTAACCAAATGTGACATTTCAAATGTTGTCTGATTTAGCATTAATCCTTGTCATTATTTGCATTTATATTGTGGGCATATTCAAATGCCACTTGTGTAAATGCTTCCTCTGTATTTATCTTTCAAAACATCACTGAATTTGTGTTCTGCAGTTGACACCGCCATTAGACCAGTCTTCCTCTAGAACAGCAGACTCTCAATGTACGTACAAAGCAGCCACAACCCTGACAGCTGTAGAATAGGGATCTTCTCATCTTTATCTAAACATAAAAATCACAAATTCAATGACCTCTCGAGTCCCTGTCTGAACAGGATGAAAGCAGGTATCCAATGCTTATGATCACAGAAATGGCATAAGTTATGTTGGCCTCTTCTGTCCTGAGAATGAGAAAATGGTTCTCTGAGACAGAGCTCCTGACTTTTGTGGGCATTCACCCTGTTTGTCCCTTCTCCTCTGCCACTGCCTCCCATGGAAACAGACCTTGCAGTATGTTCCACACCTAGAAAATGCTCAGCATCATTGGATGGCTGAGCAGGTAAAGGTGCTTGCTGTCAAGCATTAGGATGGCTAAGCAGGTAAAGGTGTTTGCTGTCAAGCTTGATGACCTGCGGCTTCATCCCAGGACTCACAGGGTGGAAAGAGAAAGCTCGCTTCCACAAGTTTACAATCTATCGTAAATTTATTACAATAAAAAAGGTAGTAAATTTAGAATGAAAGTTTTCTTAGTAAATAGCTCGATTACTATTTAAAAAATAATTTGTAAGGCTGGGAATAATGGGGTATACCTCTAATCCCATGTATTTGTAGGAGGTGGAATATGAGTTCAAAACTTCCCTGGGATACATAGTTAGACCCTGTCTCTAAAAACAAAAATAGACTAATAAAATAACATTTGATAAAACTAAAAGAACCTTTACAGCATCCAGAAAAACTGTATCAAAGCCAGCTGTGCCAAAGTAGAATGCTAACTACTGTGGGGTAAATGCTTGCCAGGGCTAGTCTCTAGTGGGATCCGTGTATCTAGGTCTCCATTAACTACCTCCCTGTCTCTATTTACCCAAATCTCAAGCTCTATCTGTCTCTCTGTCAATCTTGTCTCTGTCTTCCTCTCCAGAAAAGTTTTGATTAAATCCATGCAACGGCAGTGGGAGTGGGAAAAGAACACATTCCAGAGGAAATGCAAGGGGGACAAGAAGAGAAAGGGTTGAATGTGTTCAAGACACAGTACACACATGAAATTTTCAAAGGCTACATTTAAGTTTAAAATAAATGCCTAACATGTGGAACTACCTCTCTTCCCTTTGAAACCCTTCCCCGTAGCTTCTGTCCCCTCCCCATCAGCTTCCCAGTCTCATTATCATAGTTCTTAGCTCCAGTGCCTCCCACAATGCCCTGGTTGGTCAACTCACAACAGACATTTTTAGTTAAAGAAGTGAGGGAGGAAGGTCATCATAAAAGGGACCAATCCTCTTTGAAGGTCCCCCAAGAACACATCATTCAGATTCACATCTACTTATCTGACTACCCGTCCCCCCAGCATTGACGCTGTTGATTTTCAGCACCAATACTTACATAGAGGATAGAACGGTGAACAACGTATGATTCATGGTCCCCTTCACCCTGACACTTGGAAGTATAAAAATGTTGGACAATTCATTGGAAATTTTCGGAGGGTATCGGGTTCTTTGCAAAAGCGTTCCATTATTAAATTGTAAGTTTCTAACTTACATTTACCTTTGCACAAATAAAAGATAAAAACAGTGAAAAACATTTTAACTTTTAAGTGATGGTTAGTTAAAATATTAAAAACATAAAAAAAAAAAGAGTAAGCATCCCCAGATTAAGTATGAGTGCGCTGACAATTGGAAAAGTCCAGCTAGGGAGCCGGCTCAACAGGCAGTGTTTGCGGTGCAGGCACAAGGACCTGAATTCGGATTCTCAGCACCCAGTAAGGGCCAGGCACAGCATTGTGTAACCCTAACACTGCAGAGGCAGAGACAAGAGGATCCATAAGGTTTGCTGACCAGCTAGCTGGTCTAGCTGAATTTGTGAGCATCAGGTTCAGTGAGTGGCCCTGTCTCAAAAGGAAGGTAAAAAGCCATTCAGGAAAGGACATGATAGCATCCTCTGGACCTCCACATGCTCATATGCAAACACATATACACTCACATATACAGACATGTACATATGTGCACAAAGGCGAGCATACATACAGAACACACAAACACACACCCACACACAAGCACACATAAACAAACATGCACACACACATGCATGCATGTACACACACAAACACACACGCGCGCACACACACATAAAGTTACCCGGTTCTAGTGTCTGTACATTGCAAAGCAGTCCAGTTAACTGTTTTTCCAAATGCAGTGCACCTCATCCTGCAAGGGAGTAGTTACATAGCTGTCAGTTACCGGGTGGCAGAAACTTATTCCAATTTTTGTGTTTTAATTTAGTCTTAATCCTTCGGAGGCATATAGACCCACCTCTCCATTAAATTATGTGAAAATAATTCCAGTAAGACAGTTTGTTATTTAAAATAGAGAAAACCAAGGACCATGAGCCCTCATTACAGAGAAAAATGTACATTTTGTGACATAAATATCAACCAGTAGCCAGCTGGGTTCTGAAATTCCAAACGGCTAATTTTGTTTTAAATGAATTTTGATATCTTGCCCTGATGACCCTTACCTAGAAGACTGCAGGCTTTCTTTGGTGACTAATGTCACTGGGTTTCATTCCGAAGATGTTTATTTTTTGAACTAGATTAAAATCCAATTTGTAACCGGGCAGTGGTGGCACAGGCCTTTAGTCCCAGCACTTGGAAGGCAGAGGTGGTAGGCAGATATGCCCAACCTGGTCTACAGAGCGAGTTCCAAGACAGGCTCCAAAGCTACACAGAGGAAACCCTGTCTCAAAAAAAGAAAAAAGAACCATGCAGATAATGGAAACTCTGGCATTTACTAACAGGTTTTTTTAATTTAAAGCATATATAAATCAGCTGGGCTGTGGTGGCACACATGTTTAATCCCAGCACTTGTGAGGTAGAGGCAGGCAGATCTCTGTGAGTTCAAGGCCAGCCTGGTCTACAGAGTGAGCTCCAGGACAGGTCTCAAAGCTACAAAGAATCCCTGTCTCGAAAAACCAAACAATATATATATCAACTATTTTTCAGTGGATCAAAATGAGATTAAATAGTACCATAAGTGTCCACTCATATTTGGCATGGTTACAGTATCCAACATGGAGCCGGAGAGATGGCTCAGTGGTTAAGAGCCTTGCTGCTCTTGCAGAAACCCGGAGTTTAGTTCCTAATAACCATACTAGGTAGATCATAACCAGTTCATAACTACCTATAACTCCATTTCCAGGGGATCCAATGCCCTCTTCTGGCCTCTAGTTTCCTACATACATATGATACAAAGATACATATACATCAATGAAAATAAAAGTAACTTTAAAAAGTGAGTTTGTGTCAGTAATGTTAACTAAGTGCCACCTCTACTAGGGACCTGTACCAACAAACGGGAACCATAGGACTGGCATGCGGCTCTGCGGCAGAGCGCTTGCCCAGCCTGCACCGGGACCTGACTTCATCCCTAGTGCAGCAAAATACAGACAACTGGGACAGCAGGCAAAACTGAATCGTGTCTAAGTACTGATCTTACCCGGTAGGATATTATGATTGCACACAAGCAAGGAAATACTGGGCATTTGATAAATGCTTGTCAAAACCGTTTCCCTCTGAATCTTACAGTCTTACTGTGCTATGCTCCCTGGAGTCCTGTGATTACAATGGTGCAGAGGGAGAGAATGGTTGTTGACTGACCTGTTTCATTTGTGTGTTTCCAGGCAAATGGACACAGTTTTGTGCACATGGAACACGAAAAAGCTGTTTTACTACTGAAGAGCTTCCAGAATACAGTAGACCTAGTTATTCAACGTGAGCTCACTGTCTAAATGTTTTTATAAATAGTGAAGATATGTCAGGCCAGAGCTAATGTTCAAAAATAAATTTATACATAGAAACCAATTTTGCCAGTTGCTGGACCAATGGCAAACATCAGTGCCAGGTGTATAATATTGTACGTTAGCCTTGACCACCCTGGAAAATGTTACCTATAAACACGGCATTCGTGCGTGGCTCTGTATCAGTTCCAGCGGCAGCCTCTGGCTGTGCATTGGTGCGGTTTTGTTTCTGTTTTTGTTTTTTAATCAAATAAGTTGTCTTCTCAAAGTGGATTTCCTATCATTTCGGAGCACGGAAGCACACACAAGCTCTTTACAAATTCTGCTCTCCATCAGAAATACTGCCTCAAAAGTTGTATATAAAGAGTTGTAATCCCCATAAAGTATTTCTAGCACAAGGTATATGTTGGCATATATACAAAAAAAGAATATAGAAAAACGATATTTTCGTAAACACCTTGGATTGAGAAAGAAAATATATCTTAAAATAAGACTTTACTATATTGAATCTTTTTCAATAAAAATTACATGATGACGCCTTATGGAAGCAACTGTACATAAAGTATAAAGTATTTATATTTGGTTCCACAGCCATTTGCTAAATTCCCATAGCAAAGTGAAATAGTTCATAAATTATCATTAATCTCTGGGACCTGAGTAATAATCAGAGAAGGTAAATCTGTTCAATGCCTTTAGCTAATTAAAAGGACACAAGCAGACTTTAGAGACAGACCACAGGCTGCGGTGGACCAGGTTCTTCACTACAACCAGAAGTGAGTGACGGGTGGCAGGGAAACCTTAATGCTTTGACGTTCTGTTTCCTCGGGGTTACGCTGACCATAGACCGCGGCCCCATGATCCCTTTGCTGTAAATGTGGAACTTTTCCGTGTGCTGCTTTGTTTAATTTGCTACTTTTAAATCATTTTCAATGAATTTTGGGAATTGATGACATTTATTACAGAGAGAGACTTGTTTGAAAGCTATGGTGGGTGATTTCAAAACTTTGGTATTGAAATATGAAACTTCAGATATAATTTCTCAGAGCTGTGGTCTAACTGGTGTCATTAATCTTAATGCCTGTTTTTTTTTTTTGCAGACAGAAATAGATTAAAATATTTTTTCTCCAAAAAAAAGTTTCAAGAAACATAAATACAAATGCAATCATAACAGAGAGTCTAATGTACTTTTACATTGCGTTTCCCCTGTGAACGTTCAAAATATGTTTTATAATCCTTTAAGTTACTTCTTTTTATAGTAGTCACTAATTTGATTAAATTATTAATTTGAAATTTCAGATCAACTTTCCATAATTGGTTGTATACATTCCCTCATATACCTACATCACTTTTTTATAGAACAAATTTATCTTATATGCTAGTGTTTGGAATATTCTATGAAATTTTACAATAGGATCACATATGGATGTCACCAGAGCTCTGAGGATAATATTTGTAAGTTTATGTTTTATGGGGACATTGGAAATACTGTATTTTTGTAGGATCTATTAAAATGAGTGCCACTTATTAGAAGTACAGTGGTGTTTTTGGCATAGAATTTGTCACGTGGAGACAAATGCAACTTCATTTAGCAGGTGGTGCACTGGTTTTGTTGCTGATTTATGTCAGGATGACACGATACCGTGGTTTTATAGGCTTTGACAATTAGCTACTGATTCGAGATTGGCCTTTTTGGCGTATTACACAGAAGCGGTTTTTAAGTGCATTTTAATATATTGTGAACATCTAATGAGAGGCGTCTTTTAAAGCCTAATTTTCTCTTTCAAAAGCTCAGAGCACATCACTACAACAGATGTTCTAGGCTCAGTCTTAGTCAAGAGAAGCCAACCAAGCTCAGAACATAATACTGCTGCTTGAAACATCCAGAAGGAACCCACAGCCTTCTTCCGGAAGGCAAGAGGCAACCAGATGTAGGGCTCCCACATACTTTCTTGTATAGGAGCCTCAGGTGCTCCTGAGGCCATCAGCTGAGAGGTGGTGACCCCCCCCCCCCTTGATGGACTACATTGCCAGGGGTCTTGCTTTGACACTTCCTTCTGTGAAGCTCAGTAATGGGGAAAAGACCTCTTGGGGAAAATGTGGATATACTCCAGGCTACCGACTGACAGGCAGATGGTCACACAGAGGGACATTTTCTGTTTTAGGTTAACTCAGTGGAATCGTTAATCACTTGTGGCTGTAGGAGGGGCTTCTCACTGATTTTAAAAGTGACCCGAGCCAGTAATTCATTGGTCTGGGGTTATTTTTATTTTTTGAGTAACTAACTTGCTGCCAGAAACTAGAATCTGGTTCAAGTTAACATCAAAAATGTAAGTTAAGAGTGTGCCTTTAAGAAGGAAAGAAGGAAAAAGAAAAATCTACAACACAAAGGAGTGAGTGCCAGGTGGCACCATGAAATCTGTACCTCTTGGTGGGTCCTGGATCTTCCTGCTGAGAAAGCTGTTTGTAGACCTGGGTCAAGGGTGATGTGCAATAGAGTGGAGACAGTAGAGACAGAAAGAACAAATACTGACAATTAGTAGCCAAACACTGTGGGGTTTGCAAGATAAATAAATTTAAAAGGACAATTTTCAAGACATCTCACCAGGCATGCACACTTTATTAGGTGATTCCAGCCTGCCAGGCAACACAAGCCACCAAGCATGCATGCCATGCTGACTTGAAGCCTGTGGAAGTGTGCCTGTCCCTCGGCATTGTAGTAAATGCTGTCCGGGCTTTGGCTTGTGCCCCTACCTCCACAGAAAACACCTCAGATCAGGCGTTTGAACCAACGCTGACTTGTTTGCAGAGAGGATTGCATGCAAAGTGGGGCTGAGCTACTTACCACCGTGTGCGAGGGAAAGAGAGGAGGATAGAGGCTAGGAAATGATGAAGGACTTTGATTTGCATATCCAAATATCAATAGAAAAGTTTTCAGACTTTCCAAACTATTTGATGGAGAAACTCAGAAGCGTTTAATTTTTAGCCATAAAACCTGCCAAGTGTAAACACCTCAGTGTAAAAGTCTGGGAACCGTGTTCGTCTCAGCCCTTCTTTCCACAGGGTTTGAGTTGTCCATCATCGTTTTCTGCTTCTCATTGGCAGGAAGATTGAGGATGTCTATTCCCATGAATGCATTCTTGTGGAGAGCAAGAATATGATCTAATCAGATCAAAATTCATGTTGGTATTAGACTGACATCTAAACCATTCGTGAGTTCAGTCTGACTGATCCATGAAATGGCAAACCACCCACAGGTTCACTGGAACGCTAGAACAGCAAAAAGTAACAACTTAGCGAAATAATAAAGTCCAGTCAGCTATGATGGGTCCTTCAGTTCAAGACAAGCAGCATTGAGGGGCAGCAAAAGCCCCGTGGCAGTATGTTTCTTTCTGTGGCTTAACCAAAGGCTCAAACAACAGTCAGTCATGCATCTGCTTTCCACTCACAGGTGCAGCTTCTTGACCAACCACAACTTTGGTGAATTTTCAAAATTCAAGATTACTTACACAACTTTTTTTTCCTTAGCAATCCTAGGAGAGGCACTCTGCCCTGGCTTGGAGCATGAAACCATGCTATGTCACCCAAATAGAATACCGGCTGAGGGTGATTGGGTATGCACTGTGGAACACACAGAGAAAATGTTACAAAAGGTGTGGATGTTGGCTCTCCTGCATGTCTGTCTAGCTCCACTTTAGTCCAAAGTATGCGGCCAGTTTCCCATGACACCCATGTAGAAGACTAAGGCAGATACAACCTCGTTTTCGATTCTGCTCGGGCTCACCTGGGGATGCTTCTAGCATCTTCTAGCTGCTTCTAGCGTGCAAAGGTGGTCTCCTCTCAGAACTGTTATCCTCCTATAGATTCATGCCCGACCCACACATGGTATTCAGAGGAGGTAGGTGTAGGTTTCCATCCCACTGAGGCGAACACATGTAGCCTCCAGGGCTCTAGCTGCCAGAAGATCCCGAATACCATCTGAGGATGTCCACCCCTAGGGGAAGAGTCAGTGTTCGCCACACCACTGACAGCAGCAAACAGCTCATGCACGAAGGTGTGTGAGAGTGTCAGTGCCTTAACAAAGCCACGTTTTCACTTCTGTGTTTATTTGGACTGTTTGCTTCTCTATTCTAAGCGTTAGATTTTTGCCATACTGAGGAACTTTCTCTAAGCTGCTTGTATGCATATTGGGGTACCTCCTAGTCTTCCCAACCTTTAACACTGTGAGGAAATTATCCAGAAACACTCTCCTGTGAGGACAGAAACTCCTGCCTTCCATCCCAAAGAATTTGAGGGTTCTGGAACAATGAAGGGGATTGATCACGTTAAGAGTTTATTTTAAAATCAACAGTGAAAATAAAGGAATCTGGGTCCCCTTGCTTTCTCACCATGTGATTGTCTTGATTTTCCTAGAAGTCATTTTTGGGGGGGTGCAGATAAGGACATAAGAACTGATGGTTTTAACTTTAGCACCATCTTGACCACCTGGGTTCTGCAGATGGATTCTGTAACATTGCCTAAGTAGGGTGCAAAATTAAAAACAACAGGGTCTGGCCCCAGCATGTGCAAGTAGCCAGGAGATCTGGAGTACATACCTTTCTTACAAAATTTCAATACACACTCTTGTTTCAGCCTGACTTTATTCAGGGTGACACCGTAGAGAGTTAAATATTGGGAAATTTCAAGTAGCCTTTATGTAGAAAATGATAAAATCCCGTGAATCTGTCTTACACTGGACTGATACAGACCTGACCAAAGCAGAAGCAATGGACCAGACCTCAATACATGAATTTCCAAATCCAGCATAATTTCCCTTCCTTTATTAAAAAAAATGGCTTTTGCTTCATCCTTTAAGCTGGTACCATTTGTATATACCCATTTGTATATGAACTAGTGAGGGGAGAGGGATTTAAAAGTATCATTCAATATTTTCATTCTTTGAAAGTTTTCTCCCTCTTTGAACAAGTGTATTCTTTGTAGGGTTCCCCCCCCCCAATTTTAAAATAAAGTGACGAACATATATCACATCAGACAGACAGACAGATGTCTCTCATCTAGAGGAAAGTAGCTCACATAGGGTCTTGTTTTCAACAGTAAACACATATACTTCCTTCACTATAGGACAGCTGATCTCAGAAGCCTAGCATAAATGATATAGTCAAGGCATTTAGAGATATGTTACCGAAGATTGTAACAAAAACATAAAGTGCAGCGATCATAAATTTTATGATAAATATCTGTTGGGTACCAGTATGCATCAGGCCTGCCAGGGACATAGCACAAGACGTCACAGTTGAGCAGAAAGAGAAGTTGCAGATGGAATGAGTGCGCTGAGGCCTCTGCCTCGGCCCTTACTCCATCCCATGGCGGATGGATGGCATCCACTCTGCCTGGGTTGGGACAGTACTTAAGCTATCTGTCTCCCTACCAGGTCCTAGGGCCACTGGGAGGCCATTTCAAATGTTTGTCGGGGACTTAGAGAAACTTCTGAAACATTGGTCATGGCCATATTGGAAATATTTTTGGACCAGGGAAACAGAACCCAGAATCTCTTGGATTTTGGAGAAAGGGCCATGTTTTTGTCAGTTTGTTAGCGTGAAAGAAAGCAAGGGTAATCATGAGGACAACTGTCTCTCAGTCTGGCCCAGCGCCCAGCTCCATGCTCTGGCATCAATGAATGCTAACCCTTAACAGACATGGGAGTAGGTGGGTCCTTCCTGTGTCCACTGCCTCGAGGACATACTTTTAGTGTCCAATGTCACAATTATCGACTCAGAAAGGCAGTGAATAGCTGAGTGTGGCGGGAGGCAGAGGCAGAGGCAGGTGGGTCTCTGCTCAAGGCCAGCCTGGTCTACATAGTGAGTTCCAGGCCAGCCTGAACTACATAGTGAGACCTTTCAGATCTATGTATTCCCCCTGTGAATTTAAGAACACTATCACTGCCTGGCCTGCTGTTTAGGCCATCCCGTGATCCAGCTGCTCATATGCTGTTGGGTTGTGCGTGTCTGTACATCAAACCAGCCATCTGCTTGTCCTTCCCAGGAGATCTGGGGTCTCTCGGATTGTAGGAAGGTTCTTTGCCTCCTGAGTGTCCCTGTGCTTCATGGCCTTTGCACACACTGGCAAACTTCCTCCCCCAGCCACCTTTCCAAGTTATCAAAACCACGTTTGGTCTTCAAGGTCCTGCTACTCAGCACAGTGACTGTGAGCCCTTCTGTAATCTTGATGAGGAAGCTCTTCGTCAGAACCAACAACAGGCTGTTGTCTTCCCTCCACCTGAGCCCAGGCAGCTGGGTCTGTGTTAATTCTCTTCTATCAAGCTTAAGTTCCTTTGAGAGACAGGGCCAGGCAGTACTGAAGCGGCTTCTGGACAGTAACCAAGGAGAACATGTAAATCCCTCAGCCTTTCTTAGCACCACAAGCGGGGTGTGACACACTTAACAAATCATGACTTAAACGGGTGACTGACGTTGCTCTGTGTAACCTTTATTCCCACTTTGGGGGCTGGGAAGTCCTCTATGCCAAATTCTCCCCATCCTTACCATTTCTTCTCAGAGTCTTCAGAACCTTTGCCCTGTTCAGCAGTTGGTTTCATTTTCTTTTTACATCTTCTAAAGATGTGAACGCTGCCCAAAACATTTAAGTGGTTCTGTTGTTTGTTCAGTGAGAAAAACATTTTTATATCCTTTTAATTAGCTTGGATTTGTTTCTTTTGGGGAAAAGTTATGTGTTTAGTTGTCAGAAACATCCCAGAGACAGGAAGGATGGTGTTGAATCACAAAGCTGTGGTTTTAAGCATCTTCGAGACCACCAGGCCCCAAAAACCCATCCTGGCGGTAGCTCTAGAACCCTGGTAGAGCAACTGAGAAGGCTGAACATGGTCAAGGCTGACTTTAGACTCATTTAATAGAAAGATCCCTCTGCCCTGTGTTGCTTCCCGAAGGTTGTCAGCTATTTTCACAATTATGAAGATGAGAAACAGAGTAAAGGATGTCATAAAAGAAAATGGCATGAGAAATTCAGAGAAGAAATGAGGTCCCCATTGCCAACAGGGCCCTTTTCTAAGGTAAGGACCAGTGTCAGACACACAACACAGGAAAATGTCCCATAGAGAAGTTCAAGTGTCTGCCGCTCCTGAGACAAGTGAGAATCCAGAAGGGACAATTAACACTCCTCGTTTTTGAGTTCTTGTTTTCCAGCCTGAGATACATGCTATCCTTGCAATCATTTGGACATGGCCACAGGACTTTTTTAGGAGCCTGTAGTTACAAAGAGTCACCAGTAGGTGGAGAGCGTCTTCCTAGATTTAACGCCAGTCTGGAGAAGCCTTCACAGCCGGTTCTTGTCTGGGCGCTGATGGAGTTAAACTCCTTTCCACAGTCCTCATTAACGACTATTTATAATTATGTTCTAAGATTAAACGACACCAATGGATTCTGTATCTTTTGTACTGAAACACTCAGGTTGAATCAACTTCCTAGAGTGTAGATTTCTCTCTCTCTTTCTCAGCCCTGGACCAGTGTGTGCTGAGATTCTGTTCCTTAACTGTCAGTAAACACATCCACCTGTTTCACAGTTTTTCCCTAGCTTGCATGAGTCTTTCAAATACTTTGTGCTAATCTCCCTTATCTTATCCACACTTCCTATCAGTGACATGGCAATATATTTGTTTTAAATCAAACAATTTACCTTGCAAATTATCTCTGTAAGACTTAAGCATCAGGAATCAAGTTTGCCTGAACGGCCTCTCTTTTGAAAACTTATCGAGGTCCTGCTTGAGTTTCCAACAGATATCTATAAACTCACTTTTCACCTGCACAAGAATTAGCGTAACATAAATAGAGTTTATTACAAAAAGAATGCATTTTAAAAAGCATCTCATAATGTGAAAATTGGGTTCCAAGAAAGGCCTCATTAGGTAAACCCTCCCCAGTCAGAATATCCATGAATCAAAACCAGAATCTTGGCCCCCTTGGTGACATACTGTGGTTCTGAGATATTGAGAGTCCGGGGCCTCTGATGGCTGGTTCCTGGTGAAAGAAATCATACCTGAATTAAATGTGTCTTCACAATCTGCTCTGCCTAGGCTTCTACCTTGATGATCCCATCAGAATCCTCCCTGTCCTCCTCCAGCAAAAGTAAACAGAAGACAGGATGTTCTTCCCTGAAGCTTACTAAAACATTAAATCCTGGTGTTTTTTCTCTCAAAGGGAGCTGCTTTCTTCTGGCCACAAGGTCACCAGCTCCTGCGGTGAGCTCTTAGCAGAGTCTGGCCAGCCTCCTTAGGGGGCTGGGGACTATTCGCTGTGACCTCAAGGCTGCTGGTTTTATGGCACCAACTCAGGATCACCAGGTTGGCTTTAGACCCTCTCAGGAGTTAAAGCACCCATTAGCCAGCCTGCACTTGAGCAGTGTGACCCGCCAGCACGCCGGGAGTGCCAGACACAGGTTCTCTTCTTTCGAAAAACATCTGGCTTTGTAACTTACTTTCTTTTCTATTCCACCATTATCCTCCTTTCAGACTCTCGTGGGCTCCTAAAGATCAGTTTGGTTGTACACTAAATCGGAGAACGAGAGGCTGCTCGTTAGCTCGAGTGCTCTCCCCAGTGCTGCCTTGTCTCTCTTGTGGATCTGGTCCTGGACCACCACTCAGTTCTTGGTACAAACCATTAAGTGTATGTTTTGTTGTTTTACTTGTTCATATAGTAATCTCGGTCTTTCATTCCTGGAATGGTCTCTCCGCCAGCACATTCCCCCTTGTGCTGAGACCATGATCGCCTTGTTGCTGAGGGATCATGACTAGCCCTGCCAGCCCTGACGTAAAGTGAACGCCTGTCTTGGGCTCTGTAGTGTGACGGGCCCAGGGATGGACTTTTAGCTGTGTGGGATGGGAGTGTTACCCAGGTTGGTTTGTGGAGTAGCCTCAGGGTGGGAAGAGGAGGCTGCAGGAAAAACTTCACCAAGACCTTCTCCAACCCTGCCCCAGTTTGTCGCCTCCTGGGAGAGATGAGTGAGTGATTGTGAGCCCAGCTTCACTTTATCCGTGTTCATTAAAGCATAATTCTAAAGACAGGAAAAGCATCCCTCCTGTTTGTTTTAAGCAGCTGGCAACCACACTTGCTTGCAGTTCTTCAGCCTTACTGTGGGATCATTCAAATTGGCAATAAGTATTTTGCACTCTAGAATCTCGAAGATTCCTTCTAACCAAAAGAGGCTCCAGAAAGCACTCCCCTCATGGGTGCTTGATACAGCTGCAGATGCCGCTGCTTAAACTGCACATCTCTGTGCCTGCCTCCCAGGACAAGCCAGATGTGGGAACCAAACCCCTCCAACTACACATGCACGCACGCACACACGCATGCACGCACGCACACACGCACACCTCTGTCCCTCTCCAAGTCAGGACTCCTGGACTCTTTTTTTTTTTTTTTTTTTTTTTTTTTTGCATTTCCACACTTGTCTACAAAATCTGGGCCTCTGGGATCTAGGACTTTAAGTCATCATAAACAGTTCAAAAATAAGAAAGCAGGCCTTTGGTTTACCTTTCCAAAATTATTTTCATAAACCTTCCCACATGTCCACTCATATCAGGATATAGACTTTTACTTACTTACTTATTGAGAATGCTTCCAAACCTGTTGTGTGAAGAGATGCAGTTCAGGGACGTGTTTACTGTGGTTTCTGGGCATCCGACCTGGGCATCCTAGGGTTCTGTGCCTGCAGAACACGCAGCGCCCCACTCTGAGCTGCACCCCAGCCCCTCCAGAAATGCTGAAGTGGCTGTCTCGAGAGTCCTCTGTACCATCTTCAGCGCAGGCTTCTAGCCTGCAGTGTAATACTTTTTTTAAAAGATTATTATCAATGGTTTTTAAGCCTTTTTCTTGTTGTCCTTTCAATTAAATCCATGTGGTTGCTGGGAGTTGAACCTGGGCCCTCTAGAAGAGCAGCCAGCACTCCTAACCTCTGAGTTAGGATTAAACTCCCCTTTCAATTAAATCCAATAGAGGTAAATGTTCAAAGGAACAGCCAAACATACAATAAGTATCAGCCTTTCCCATCAAGAAACAGTCAAACGGGAAGATGGTGCTTAAGAAGTCTCTCTGAGGAAACTGAGGAGAGCAGAGAATAAAAATATCCTCGCTGTCTCTGTCACGCTGACAAAGCAGCAAAGGATTCTTTTCAGCTTCATTGACTCACAGTGCGGACATGGAACATTCTGGACGGCCAGCTCCCACTTCTTATTTGTATTTATTGTCCAGAAAGGACAAGTCTCTGGAGACAGTTGAGGCAATACCATCCAGATGAGTCACATCACGCCTGGCTTGCAGCTCCTTTTGATGCAGTCCTTCAGTGAGGTTGCCCTCGGGGATCAAAGTCAGAGAGAATGCAGGATTAGGGCATCTAAACATTTTCTAGTCTAGCGCACAGATTCACTAAGTCACTACAAGGTGAATTCCACATTAGCTCCTAAGAAGCAGTTCCTCCCCAGGTTCCCATTGGGAAGTCTCTCCAGCCATTGCATTACATGGCAAGAATGGTTGATTTTATTTTTGTTTTTACTTCCAGCAAAACACCAGTTTTTGTTTGTTCCTTGAGGTTAAAATTAGGGTGTCCCCCCCTTAGGATTAGTCTGGGTGTGGGTTAGCAGAGATACAATCATGCATTCAGGTGGGGTGGCACAGCTACCCTTGATGGTAGTGACTTAGTGAATCTGTGTATTAAATTAGAGAATGTTTATCAGAAACATGCAGCATAGCTGCATTTGAAAATGAGATTGTGCAGGGAGACCTCTGAGTGAAGGTCAACCTGGCCTACAGAGAGAGTTCCAGAGACACCCTGTCTCAATAAAATAAAATAAAATAAAACAAGAAAATGAGATTGTATTCTGAAATTCCTGACTTCCAGGTGCCACTTTGAGCATGCTAGATATCCAGATAGACAGGTGTACTGGCAGGTAGGGAAAGCCCAACTGTAGAAAGCCGGTAATGCCTGCTACCTAGACATCGTCAGTCCACTCCTAAGTCAGTTCTTCAAATTCCCAAATGTTCGTGGCAATGAAAAGCAATACATATCCTTAGCTAAGGAAACTGGTTCTTTTTTTAAATAGTCTACTGCTACATGACAAACAACATGACTACAAGTCACGTCTGCCACACTAAGATACAGGACATCACAGAGAATCTCCTATACGGCCACACAAAGAAATGGAGAGATAAATCAAACGTTTAAAACAAACAACAGAAGAGGAGCTTGGAAAATGGCTCAGTAGGTAAGGAGTTTACCACACAACTCTGAGGGCCTTATTCAGGACCATCAGAACATATGAAATTCTCCTGTTATCCCTAGGCTCAGAAGGCAAAGACAAGTGGCTCCCAGGGCAAACTGGCCATCTAGACTAGCTCTGGCTTCAAGTGGAAGGCCCTGCTCCTGTATATAAGGTGGAGAGTGACTGAGGAAGAGACCTCCACAGGCACATGCACACATGTGCAGACATGCCCAGAATACACACATGCACTCCACAGGCACATGCACACATGTGCAGACATGCCCAGAATACACACATGTACACACAGGTACATGCACACAGGCACGTGCACACATGTGCAGACATGCCCAGAATACACACAGGTACATGCACACAGGTACATGCACACATGTGCAGACATGCCCAGAATACTCACATGCACTCTCACACAAGCAAACACACATGCAGAAGAAAGTGGAGTAGAATTTTAGCACTTAGTACCTGACAGGGTTTCTAATATGATGAAACGCTTGCTGGCAAAATGGATGTAGTAAAATTACTATATACAGCAGACAGGTGGTCTCTCAGAGGAAATCAAGTTTGCCCAAAGAAATTGCAACCAGAAGAGGGTTAAAGCTTTTGAAGCGAGTCATTCTTCAGTTTAATACTCGCCGGCTAGTCTTCCTCCAGACATGAACTTATTTTAGACACCTTACATGCAGAAATAGAAGCAGCAATGTATTAATTGTGCCATCTTCATAGCTTCTTCTGAAGACTCCGTGACATGCTTGGCTCTCAGGAGAGATCTGCCTACTGCCTTTATTTAGTCCCTCATCAGATTATTCAATCCTGATCTTCATTGGGTATTAGTGTAAGAAATAGTCTGCATACAACAGGCTTCGTGTTCCAACCTGTTTAACCACCCTGAGTGTCCAGGTCCCTCATAGATTTCCGAACTCTCTGAAGGACTCTGAACACTGCGGCAGGCTTCAGAGAGGAGCTCTAACAAACAGATCAGGAAGTCACTGGTAATCATGTCTTATAGAGAAATGCTTCCAGGATGCTGCTTCAGTTAGCTGGGAGGACAAGAGGGCTGGTTCCCAGGAGCACAGACACCTCCTTGTATCAGGGTTGAAACTGCTAGGTGAGTCCTCACTGCCAACTTTCCAACATCCTGTCCGGCTTGAGGCTGAGAACACCAGAGCAGGGTATTCAGGAAGGCTTTGATCAAGTGAAGAGAAATAATTATTTCTGTGAGAAACAAAGTCCTCAGTTACTTATGGTGGTTACCTGGCCGTGGGGGAGGGGAGAGGGATTTGTAAATCATGGCTTTTGTTGCTGTTCTTTGGCTTTTGATTTTGAATTCTTGGGAGGCTGCTTCAAGCAATAACACGAGGTGTGCAATAATCCTGTAAGGTGTGTGCCTGGGCTTTGAGTTAGTCTTTTGCAGGTTCCTGTTTATCCACACAGTCCACACAGGCTAAAAAGCCTAACTTATCAGGAATGGAACTAGGTTTCACAGAGTTCCTTTAACCAAATAAGCTTGCTACTTTCTCATTTCTTCCTGCATCTGCCTTGGGATCACTAACCACTAAGTCATTCTGGCCATTTTCGTTGATGTCATCAGATGAGAAACACTTTCTTTAAATCCCAGAGGCTTAAACAGCAATGCAGAAATCAACTCCCTATCTTTTTTTTTTTAATTTAATTCCTCACTCTTTGTCATATCTTTCATTTGCCTGCATTCATTCCCATGGCAACAAGTTTGTTGGCAGAGACGGTAGAACTCTGCTTTTAGTTTTCAGCCCAGTGTAAAATGGCTTCGAGGTAGGTGCCACATAAACAAGCAAACTGGAGTGCTCTTGCTAAGACATTTTCTCATCTCTTTACCCATTCCCATCCTATCCCCAAGCAAGGCTCTCCTGTGCAGAGGCCTCCCAGGCAATCACAGCTTCAAGGACTTAACATTTGGGTTCCTGTGGCTTCCCTCTTCCAAGTGTCAATAAGAGGAATGCATCCATTAAGGCTGCAACTTTCAATCAATTCCTATAAAAAATGCCCTCAGTGTATTTGAGGAAATACGTACGTCCTGAGGTGAGCCGTAAACCAGGTAAACAAGGTAATGAGAGGCATTTATGCAGATTTCCTCCCAATAAGTAAATGCAGAGGCCAAGCTTTAAGCTCTTGAAAAGACTCATGTCTGGAAAGCAGACATGGTCCTGGCAGCTGCCTGCACACAGGAGAGCTTCAGCGGAGACAATTCATTACCAAGTATGAAAAGGCAAGCAATTGCATCCAACTTGGTGAAATACAACTATGATTCCAGCAATGGCGGCGGGGCCCCGGGAGTGGTAAGGCAGAAGCATTACAAGTTTGAGGTCTGGGCTACATAGCAAGATCTTGCAAGGACTGGGGTGGCAAGGTCTTAGGTTCAATTCCTAGCACCTTGAATCTACTGAAGCAAATGGAGTGTACAGATGGAGAAAGGGGAGTGGAGTCTGCAGAAACCCCAACCCCAAGCTCTAATGTTTTAAACTTTAGGTTCCCCGTGGCTCTGGCAGCCCCAACTACTGCTGCAGTGCCCAGGATACAACAGGCCCACTCTCAAAAACTGAATAGGAATTACCCAAATATGTGCAGATTTTTTTTTTAAAAAAGAAAATGAATTAATTCAGGGGAATGAAAATAGGTATTAAATTATCTCAACTGTAGTTAGGAAAATGGTCAGATATAAATGATCTCTTTCTTGCTTAGTCTTATGAGACACTTAAGCACCAAGTTAGCTGCTTATATTGTATAAATGTATTTTTTGGCTGTTCAAAGGTTATTTTCCTATATTAAGAAGTTTCTTATATTAAAACCTTTTATTGCAACTCAGGTTTTGTGTCTCTTAGACGCACATTTTTCTTTGCTGGTTTGTTTTGCACTGCTGGAGTCTGAGGTTGAATGATGCCTGGGTATGGCAGGTCAATTGAACTGCCTGGTGGCTAGACGAAGGAAAGCACTTGACACATGGACAAACCACACTGTTTTCCATAGCTTTCCACTCCGCTACTAAAGAACAGGTCCCCGGGAAGTGTTAGATGATTTTGTTTGTTTTTGAAAGTCTCTGGAAAAACTAAGACAAATCTCTCAGGCAGATAAAGAATTTCCCATATTTGCCCGAATGTACTGTTGAAATATGTATTATTTTCAATATTCATTTTTCCACTCAGAGGGCACTCACTGGTTTTAGACCAAGGGGAGGACATCTGGCTTACATAGGATCGCTCGCTGAGTGCTACTTAATGCTTAGGAAACCTTGTTTTACTTTGATGACAGTGTGATGGACTACAACAAACATATCGTAGTTCTGCTCTGATAATTAGACATTTCCTTTGCTTCCCCCCTCAAGAGAGCAAGCCTTACTGTAATGTCTGTTTGAGGTAAAGAGAAAGGTAGCTGACAGGCAGGCAGCACTTTTGTTGGAAGAGGCCATCAAGTTCTTCTTGCACTCAGTGGATAGAAGGGATTGAAGGTGGCTTAAGAATGTGACACTGTTTACACTGGAGGAAAGAACACTCTCCAGGGCTAGCAGAAGCCACAGGCAGAGCTAATGAACTTGAAAAGGGTAAGGTCACCTCAAGGTCACCACAGGTTATTACAAGAACCAGGATTTTCTTTCCTACCAGCCAAGAGCACCCCACACACAACTGTGTATGAGAACTATGAACTGCGGTCTCATTCTTTTCAGGAAAGAAATATTAAGCATCAGAAAAGTGATACAGATAGAAGACATGGGGGGCTCCGAGAGGTTTGCAAAGAATTACACAAACACACTGTTTTTAAATATTCATGACATTTATTTTTCATTTTCAAAATTATTTGATCAATGACTTTTGCTCTCAGTAATTTGTGGGAGGAAAATCTATTTCTTTATTCTAGTTCTAATGTTTTATGTGTCAAGCACACACACAAATTCCTGAGGTCATATAAGTCAGTTAAATATTTCACTCTCAGAAAAGGCATAAGAGAGATTCCTAAGTGGTGGCACAGCTTCAGGTCTCTAGACCAAAACTCTGATGGGTTCTGATTTCACTACATAAGTGCGGCGCCCAGATAACACATCCACAGTAACCAGGGCTCCTCCTGTCAGAGCTTAAACTGGGACCTCATTCCTAAAACTCTGCTCTAGCTGACAACACTCACGTGGTGAAGTGCTCCTTCCGTCCATCCTTTGCCGTCTATGTGGACATTTCGATGTGTGTCGGTGAACTGACATTCTACACGCTGTATATAATTGCATGCATTTCACTGCAGTCTATGGACACTCCCTTCGTAGAGCTTTTACCAAGAACCAAGAAGCCAAGGCAGTTTAGCAAATGAGGCTCAATACTTATAAACCGGGGCCTTTTCCGTCTCTTTGCTAGCCTAGGTGGCTCCATACAAACCGGGTGGGAGGGGCAGCAAACACCTCACACATCACATTTAGATTTTCTACTTGGGTGTACTCTAGCCAATTCAAAACAAATTGCTTACTTTAATAATAAAGTTTACCATTTTATATAAAAAAATCAAACCATGATATGTTTAATTGAAATGGCTGTATTGTAATTAATATTTTGAGATAATTGTGATTTTGAGCTTAAAATTATATATAAAAGTTGTCATTTTTGTATGTGTTAAAAAAACAATGTACCATGATTAACAGTACTTTTTAGTTGAACTACATACTGATGTAAATAAAACTGAATGAAGAAACACTAATTTACTAACATAGATTGTGAATGTACTTCATGTTTTTTTTTGCCATATGAGACCATAACAACCTTGAAAGCTGTTTAATCTTATGTGCAAAGTTCCGCTAACCTGTATTTCCCCTCTGCAGTGTGTCTGTGCTCTCCAGCTGTCTTGTGCACTAGCACTGGGTTAAGGGTAGGTAGGGTGTAGTCTGGAAGCATCTGCAGATGCGCTCTGTACAGATAACTGCGCTGTGCGGTGTACAGCAGAGCCATTTTTAGGTTCTGCTGTACTCAAATTTTTCAGTATTTAAAAAAGTGTTTTGAATAACATAAAAGTCTCTTTATTGTATAAATAATAAAACATCACCTTATTACACGGTGTCTGGTTTACTATGGAAGCAGATTCTGATAGGGAGCTGTGACATGGAAAAGGTATGTTTCTTTTTCTAAAAATGTAACTTTTATTATGAACATGAAGCATGTATCTTTGTTAGCACTGACTTTCCCTAACATCAACAGCCTCAATCACCTGCAAGTTCTCTACCTCCGTCCTCCGCCCACTGACACATGCTACTACTCAACTGGCTTCTTGACACAATCATATGGTGAGCCTGGATGGCTCAAAACCTGCTTTTGATAATTTCAGTGTAAACAACAATGTTTATATTTGGTTTTTATTAAATTAAGCTTGCTTATAACTAATTCCCTTTTAGAAAATTACTGTAAAACTGCCAGTTTAGCTTTAATCAGGCTGTAAGCAGATTTCAGAACCACAGTGCTAGAATAAGAGGTACCAGGTTGGTATAAAGGACACCCATACACATATATGAAGTTAAAAAAATAAGAAAATAAAAACACCAAAAACCCTAAATATAAAATGCATTGACACTGACCACACAGAAAGTTTAAATTCCTGGGCAATAAAAAGCCTGATTTTCTTTCAAATGCCAAAGAATAATACTTAGTAAAATTTGCTGACTTACAGCTAATACAGTCTTGTTCAGTTCACATTATATGGAAAATAAAAAGAAACCAGGAGGAACCCCGATCTAAAAAGATGGTTGCCTTATCATTATGATATTAAATCTCATGAAATAAGTTTTTGCAATGTCATAATGGATGAGTTGGCAAAACATTTAAGATGTGTTGCAGCCAACACCATTATAAATGCTCACAGTACTTCACAAACGACACATTTATTGGAGTGAACACAGCGACACTTGGGATACAGCAGCACTGCGGGCTGGCCCTTCCTATCCAGAAGGAGCAGCAGGGTGGGATGCCCGCTGGACTCAGGCAGGGATTCGGTCTCTCAAATACTCCAGCACAGCAGCTGTGCCTTTCACCAATATGGCTGCTCGAGGGACTCGGAAGGGATTTCCATCTAGCAGTAGGGTTCTGATGGAAGAAACAAGAAAATCAAGCATTCCTATTAGTGATTCTCTTTTCATGAAATAAAACTATCATTTGCAATTTTATAAGTGTATTTTTACTCATGTGTCTCTTACAAACCCAACTAAATATGCGGACAGCCGGAATTACAATACCCACCAGCACAGGGTGACTGTCACATGAGAGGCACATTACGGAGCTTACATTCACAGCCTCCATTGGTTTTAACGGACTTATGGTATAGGCATCATTAATATTTCTGACTTTAAAGGCAGGGCAATACAGAACTGGAAAGACAAAGCCATATTTAGGATAAACAGTAGCTAAATGGTGGCACTGTGATTTGAACTACCAGTTAGTCTCCTCTCGATTTTACATGAGCACACGCTAAATAATAAAATAGATTTGAGCAAGTGAACAAGCAAACTGACAATGACCCATACCAAGGACACTGCAATCACAGCTCACTCTACACTCCAAGGACACTGCAATCACAGCTCACTCTACACTGAAGGACACTGCAATCACAGCTCACTCTACACTCCAAGGACACTGCAATCACAGCTCACTCTACACTGAAGGACACTGCAATCACAGCTCACTCTACACTGAAGGACACTGCAATCACAGCTCACTCTACCTCCAAGGACACTGCAATCACAGCTCACTCTACCTCCAAGGACATTGCAATCACAGCTCACTCTACCTCCAAGGACACTGCAATCACAGCTCACTCTACACTGAAGGACACTGCAATCACAGCTCACTCTACCTCCAAGGACACTGCAATCACAGCTCACTCTACCTCCAAGGACACTGCAATCACAGCTCACTCTACCTCCAAGGACACTGCAATCACAGCTCACTCTACACTGAAGGACACTGCAATCACAGCTCACTCTACCTCCAAGGACACTGCAATCACAGCTCACTCTACCTCCAAGGACACTGCAATCACAGCTCACTCTAATCTCCAAGGACACTGCAATCACAGCTCACTCTACACTGAAGGACACTGCAATCACAGCTCACTCTACCTCCAAGGACACTGCAATCACAGCTCACTCTACACTGAAGGACACTGCAACCACAGCTCACTCTACCTCCAAGGACACTGCAATCACAGCTCACTCTAATCTCCAAGGACACTGCAATCACAGCTCACTCTACACTGAAGGACACTGCAATCACAGCTCACTCTACCTCCAAGGACACTGCAATCACAGCTCACTCTAATCTCCAAGGACACTGCAATCACAGCTCACTCTAATCTCCAAGGACACTGCAATCACAGCTCACTCTACACTGAAGGACACTGCAATCACAGCTCACTCTACACTGAAGGACACTGCAATCACAGCTCACTCTACACTGAAGGACACTGCAATCACAGCTCACTCTAATCTCCAAGGACACTGCAATCACAGCTCACTCTACACTGAAGGACACTGCAATCACAGCTCACTCTACACTCCAAGGGCACTGCAATCACAGCTCACTCTACACTCCAAGGGCCATCCACATAAGTCTGCCATCCCTCCCTGACCAGAGGAACATGTACATAGTTCACTTACACATTTGGAAATAAGACTCAATTTATGATTAAGGGCAAGTTGTTTATGAAATTAATGAAATATCTTCAATCAAAAGACTTTACTAACCTAAGTTTTTATGTAAACAAAAATTAAATGGCTCACACAGCATTATAAGGTTCATCTATATCCTTCAGATATTTCCATGCTACCTGGAAATTCTTTGAAAAACTTAAGGTTCTTAGCTTCTAGAAAGAAAATAATTGCAGTTGATTTTCGTGGTGCATATGTTCTATATCTTCAAATCTATCCACTCCAAATCTGTCTGTAACCCCAAATTATTGTATGTGCAGCTATGCCCAGAACTGGAGAAAACTGACACCACTCAAGGGGGCGAGTCCATGAAGTCTGATAGGGCATCTGCAATCACACTGCCATCAGGCATCCTTTCTTATACTTTCCTGTTCCACACCTATAACCCAGCACTTAGGAAACTACAGCAGGCAAGTACAGAGCTCAAGTCTAGCATGAGCAATATAGCGAGACTCTTTTGTTTCAAAAACTAAAATAAAATAAATAAATTAAACAACCTCCACATGCAGTACTAAAACGCTGCTTAGCTTCCATGGGTATAAACGTTCTTACAGAAAAACATGCTAAGTTTCTCTCAGTCATAAATTACAGCAGTGTATTTACAAGGAAGTAGTAAATTAAGGTGTACACACTGATGGGGTTCATAACTGCAGCAAACACTGAGGCTTGTTTTACAGATACAAGCAACTGTATTTGTTTCTTACAACTCACTACAAACGAGCAGCCAAAACCACAGCTGCTTTCCAGAATGAAGCAGCTTTCAGCTGACGTCTCAGACTCCCTTCCGTTTGCTCAGACAAAGCTTTAGCATAACTCAGTGAGGAGATGGACCGCACGACGGGTTGACTCAGAAATCCGAGCAAGGCTAAGGAGGGTCAGCTCTTCCCGCCCTTTGCCCCAGTACAGTTCTGGATGTTAAGCATATACTGGGACAAAAATACTATGAGAAACAGTCTATTTATACATATATGGTGTTATATAAAGCCAGAAATTATCTGGTGAAATTGAAAAGAAAAATTAGGTGTTTGGTTAACTATTACTGTTACAAGGTTAAGTCTGTTGTTTCAATTTCCTGCAAGAAAACAAAAACAAAAAACAAAACAAAACAAAGCATGCAATCAACAAATCAACTGGAAGCCCCCCAGAAGGGAAGTTACCGTAGCTGCACACAGTTCCCGAGCTCTGGTGGGATCTGCAGGAGGTCGTTGTTTTGAAGGTCCAGAGTGCTCAGGTTTTCCATCAGCTTCATCTTGTGAGGGTCCACAGAGCCAACCTGATTGTTGCTGATCAGAACTGCTTCTAATGTGGGGATGTCATACAGAACTGGAGGCAGCACTTTGAACCTATTAGATATAAAAAGGACACCTCCATGTACTGAGCTAAAGGCCAAATGACTCTCAAAAACAGATGACTTAAGTGTGGTTTAAGTCCTATATTCAACTTTTCCAGAAAATAAGAAACCGACTTTAGAATATGAATTCAGCAGACAGAGAAGGTACTAATGATTATAAGAATCAAACACAAGATGAGGCTAAGTCCCCCACTTACGGATGTGACAGCTCTCTGGGGCTCTAAAGGCTGCTCTCAGGAGGGTACTCTTTCTTAATTTACTTTTATTTATCATTAATCACCTCTAATTAAGTAAAATGTGAGGTGTTTGTTTGTTTGTTTGTTTGTTTGCCGGAGGCTTCCAGACAAAAGCATTCTGAGTTCTTCCAAAGATGACTGTCACAGACACTGGTTTCATTGTCCAAACCAAACTGTTAGATGCCAGAGACGGGAGTTCCTGGCTAACGTCGGATTTTCAGTGTTTATCTCAGGCATCTCAAAAGCTCTCCTCACTTGCCCTACAACAACCACAATTACACAGCTGAGTTCTTGGAGTGGTAGAAGGAGTACCAACCACAACCAGCTCAGCGTCAATCATGAGAATTCTAAGCAACAATACATTCAGGTAGAATGAAATGAAAATAAAACCTGCCAGTAAGATATGGTAAATTAAAGGTTTCCTATTCAGCTGGCCCCCGATGCTTTCTTACCTGTTAAAGGAAAGATTGATCATTTGCAGTTTTGTCAGTGATGACATCTCTTCAGGCAAAGAACTTAAAAAATTATTCCTAAATTGGAAATCAAAACATGGGTTTTAAACTTTACAGATTTTTACAAGTTTAAATCCTAGGAGGAATAAAAAATGCAAGTGTGTTTGTCAATTCTTATTAATCTGAGTGTTCTCCTGCATCCTTCCTTTTCTATGTACAACACTGTCAGCAGAAGCTGTGCTTGCACAGCCCAGTCTTTGTGCTGTCAGACATGAGAGAAGATTGAATCCTCCTCGTAGAGACTTCACAACAGTTACAAAGAGAGACACATACACACCCAAGTTTAGGACAAAAATATCCCACAAAAACAAACACAAACAAACAAACCAGACAGCAGCCAGGGGAACCTCCCTTCCCTCTGTCCCATCAGCTTTATACTCTTGACACCCCAGAGCAGAAAAAGCTCACACTTGGTGCAGGCAGGTCCTCCTGCCTCACCTATACTTCATGCCAACTAAAAGCATTCCTGCTAGCAGGAAGCACTAGGAGAAGCACAGGCAACAGAAACAATCTACAGCAGATACAGTGTCAAGGCCCAAAGACAAACACTATGTAACCCTGAGACACTTGGCTGTCAGCTTCTCCCTGACTTTGTTAAAATGAAGCTTGCTCAGATTCCCACAGAGTGTAAGGCAGGTTCTAGCTCTGCTCCAGTCAGGGCTCTTCTGCTTGGTTCTGTCTCTTTAATGTCCCAGTGGGAAGCAAGCAGGCACCATAGAGCAGCAGAGGGGATGCTGGTCTGGTCTCCATTATCTACTTCAGCAATAAACAACACGAAGGAGAGACATTTTCCATGTACTAACTGTCATTTCACTTAGACAAGAATTTAAAGAATATTGATTAAAAAATGTCTTAGGTAGGGGGCTGGAGAGATGGCTCAGAGGTTAAGAGCACTGGATGTTTTTCCAGAGGACCTGAGTTCTATTCCTAGCAACAACATGGTGGCTCACAACCATCTGTAATGAGATCAGGTGCCCTCTTCTGGCCTGTTGTAGGCACAATGCAGACTGAACAGTGTATACATAATAAATAAAGTGAGTGCCACAACACCTGGTTTAAAAAAATCTTAGATATTTTTATCTCATAATCTAAGTTATAAAATATTTACAATGGAAGTCTGGTTAAAATGTCTAAATAACTTAATTTTATAATTCCCCTAGCATAGTTAGAACACCGAAGACCAGGTTCCATACTCACCAATGAAAACATGATACGAAAACTCAGAAATCAATCATAACTTTTAAAGTGTCAAGTAACAGTATTTTCAAGTACCTTAAATCTAAAAATGTCAATTTCTGAAGCAAGCATAACTCCTGGGATATAAAGGAAAGCTTGTTAAAACTAAGGTTGACATCTGATATCATCTCCTTCAGCTCAATAATCCTGAAACAAAAACAATTATAACTGTTAGTACTAATTCAAAAGTGAAACAATCATAGGAGAAGGAACAACATCCCTTCTCCTTGCCATGACTTTCAGGATCTCAGTTCCTCACAAAAATTTCAGACTGGCTGTGTAAACTCAAAATTAAAAACAAAAAAAAAGTCTTACAGTGATCTGACCAAGGCGTCAATCTGACAGTAAATGCATAGTGAAGTTTAATTTTAAAAAAATCCACTGATTATATATTTAATGTAATTAAGACACAAAAGAAAAAAGTCAGACCTGGTTGCTACCATAGTACAATATTTTATTTCGGCAGTTAATTGAATTCATAAAATATATTGCTAGACACTAATAATATAGTATTTTAGACAACACACATACTATTCATATGTAGGCACCTCAAACTATTTTTAGGGATTGGAGAGATGGCTTCGTCATTAATAATACTGGCTGCTCTTTCAGAGGACCCAATTTTGATTACCAGGACCAACGTGGTGGCTCACAACTGTTAACTCCAGTTTCAGGGTATGCAGCACACTCTCTGTCCTCCACTAGTACCAGACATTCAAGCGATTCCAGGCAAAACACCCATACACATAAAATAATATTTTTATTTAATTTGACATACCACCTTCTAAATAATATTAGTTATGTAAATTATCATTAAATCCAATCATGGTTAAAACAAGATCTGAAGCCAGTTTCTAGGTGTGACAAGTCTTTACCCCAAAGCAGCTTAAGTTGAAAAAGAAGGCTTAAACATCTGTACTAAACCTAAACAACTTTGGTCATTTTAATTATATGACTGATAAAATCTGCCAAATAAAATGAAATCATAACAGCATTTTTTGGTCCATCACATTAGCAAAGAAAAGAAAAGGAAAGGAAAGGAAAGGAAAGGAAAGGAAAGGAAAGACCATCACAGCTAGTGCTGAAGATGCAGGGAGGAAGGGAGCGCCAATGTGTAACCGACAATATTTAAAAAGTAATTGGATAGACATGCGTCAAGAGTCATATCCCTCAACACAGGAATTTTTCTGGAAATTTAGCCTCAAGAAACAGTGTTTTATTTACTGCTATAAGTAGGTAACCTAGTACATGCTAAATTAGACTTTAAAAATATTACTTATGAAATATTGAAATACAAAGGAAAAAGAAATTGAGAAATACATATTGTAAATAAAGCAGTCGAGAAACAAATTACACATAAAATTGCAAATGTCAAATGTCACTAAGATAACATCTATGTCAGTGATAAGACTGTATGCCATGTCCTTCCATTTCATCCAGTATTTTATGAATATTCATTATGAATTAAAAATTTTATGTAAGAGAGGGAGAGTGGATTAGAAGCACTCTAGAGCAAGGCAGGGTGTCTTCTCTGGCTTTCTAAGCTGCATTTTAAAATCAAGCATCCCTGGTAAGAGAAGACAATGACTGTGGAATACAACAGAGAGAAGCCTAAGCAAGTGAGCGAAGCCAGGAGCATCTCTTCCAGCATCCACCTTTACTCCAGTTAAGCCAGGAGCATCTCTTCCAGCATCCACCTTTACTCCAGTTAAGTATGATGTACTTATTACACACATGTGATGTGGGATGCCCTCTGTATGCGATGAATATGTTTTATTACCACTGGTTAATAAAGAAGTTGCTTTGGCCTATAGCCTATAGCAGGGCATAATAAAGGTAGGCAGGAAAACTAAAATGAATGCAGGGAGAAAGTAGGCAGAATTAGGCAGATGCCATGTAACTGCTGAAGGACAAAGACGCCAGAACCTTACCAGTAAACCAGTCTCATGGCGAGATACATATGAATAGATATGGGCTAATTTAAGATGTAAGAGCTAGCTAGGAACATGCCTGAGCCATTGGCCAAGCAATGCTGTAATTAATATAGTTTTTGTGTGATTATTCAGGTCTGGGCAGTTGGAATATGAAAAAGCAAGAGTCTCTGTTTACACACATGGACACCTAAAGAAAAACAGAGAAAGACAAAACACAAGAAAACAGAGATGCCACAAAGGCCAACTGATTTATCAAAAAAACTGAATGGCTTTCACAGAACTGCCCAGATTTTCATATGTCTAAAAGGGCAAACTATAAAATGTTATCTTATTTACAGAGAACTCTTGGGATGTAGGTCTTGAAGCAAGATAGCCCATTACAAAAGGAGACCTGTCCCTCTTCTGGTTAATTTTATTGATGGGCTAGAGGGCTATCTGATTTACTCTCAGATACACGTGTCTGGGCAGACCCGGGTCAAACTGGCTAACAGAGAAACAGTACACACAGCTGTACTGAGCTTTGAAGTGAAACCACAATTCCTCGCTGTGGGCCTGGTAGTGGGAGTCTCACTGTTATACTTCATTATACAAGACTAGCAATTTTAGAGCTAATGATTCTCACAGCTAATTCCCCAGTTTACAGCATAAAGCAGGGAATTTTAAGAGCCTGTGGATCTTTCAGAGCAGTGGAACCACGGTTTGCAGCCCCCCTCTATCATTAACTGCTGGGGAATATTATTTTAAGGCGTGCAGCTTTTGTTTATGCTACACTTGTTTAACTCTGTGAAGCTGTGATTCTTTGCCTTTCTGAAACACCTGATGGTCCTAATGAAGAGATGAACAGCCAATAGCGAGGCAGGAGCAAGGATAGGCGGGGCTGGCAGGCAGAGGGTATGAGCAGAAGGAGAGACAAGGAAAAGGAAGAGCAAGAGAACAAGGAGAGGAGGACATCAGGGGCTAGTCACCCAGCCAGTCATGGAGTAAGAGTGGAAGTAAGATAGATAGAAGAAAGAAAAGGAAAAAACCCAGAGGCAAAAGGGAGATAGACAGCATAATTTATTTAAGTTAAGAAAAGCTGGGAAGAGACAAGCCAATCTAAGGCCGGGCATTCATAACTAAGATCAAGCCTCTGTGTGTGATTTGTTTGGGAGCTGGGTGCTGGGACCCCCAGAGAGCCAAAAGAGTTAAGAGCAAAAACATCACACAGCAATAAACAGTTCAGGAAACTAACACCTACTTTCCAAGATGCAACTACAAGGCCAACCTGAACAGCGCATCATGAGGCCATCCTACCTTTTGGGGATCTCACACAGCTGGTTCTTACTGAAGTTGATGGAAGTGATGGTGTTGCTTCTTGTGGCATCAAATACGTCATCAGGAATCAAGGTTGCTTGTTTATCACTAAGTAAGAAGCAGTTCAAAAATAAAACATTCTCAACTGTCCAGAAAATATGTAATCTCTATTCCCTACTTCTAAAGGCCTTTACAGATTTTACCAACATGTTTATGGTATCTATAGATGAAGCTCTGTGAGGTCAGCATGCCCCACTCATGCTCGGTCACATGAACAAGACAGACGTACTTTCAAAGTTCAGACACTTAGAGAATGCATGGTCCATTTCTCTGCCTATGATTGGAGCTGAATCTGATTTTAAAACCAAGCTTTTTAAAAAAATTTGTAAGATCTGTCAGCTTTGATGGCTGCAGATAATGAGTGCAACCCTGTACTAAGTGTCATGTAACCACCTACACAACACCTTCTTGTTCCTCTAGTGTGTGGCAGAGACAGGAGGAGAAAGGGTGAACTGACTATCTATGGGACCACACTGATGACCTTTGCTCTGGGATTGGAATCTGAAAAGTAGCCTTTGATATTTATGCCATGGCTTATGTATATGTAGACATATATAACAATGTCATATGACTGGAGGAACACAGAATAGGTGCAGGGGTTCCAACTCACATGTTAAAGGGTGGAATGAGAGTAATGTGAATAGAGTTCTTCACTGCTGAGTGGGTTCCTACCAACACGTGGATGAGGAGCCACATGAGCTCATAGATTCTGTAGAGAAAAGTTATCGGTCTGGAGTCTGTACTCCTCCATCTCTCCACCCTAACACCACACAAGAAAGAGTGTGAGCAAAAGGGCTGGCTAGATGCACCCGACGAATACTCACACCTCTGCAGGATACCCCTCATAATGTAGGAACTTCATGCTTCCCTTACTCTGTACACAGACACCTCTGCAGGATACCCCTCATAATGTAGGAACTTCATGCTTCCCTTACTCTGTACACAGACACCTCTGCAGGATACCCCTCATAATGTAGGAACTTCATGCTTCCCTTACTCTGTACATGGACACCATCAGTGCTTCAGTGTTACTGTGCTCCCAGAATGCAGTGCAACTATGAGACATCACCTCAGTTCCACTCACAAACATGAGGTAATCACTTCCCAAACTGCTTGTTAGTCAAGCTTTTCATTAACTAAATGATAGTTCTTATTTAACAGACTCGCCCTCGAGCATAAAATTTTCTCTAAATACTAGTTAGAGAATTTGAGAAATTAAATACTAAACTGTCACTCATATTCTTGTAATAAAATATCACCATAAAGTGTTAACATTAATCCACACATCTCTCTCATAGTTTTTTGCAACTAACATTGTTTTGAGTCAAATACTCTTGTAGGGGAGGCTAAGCAGGAAGAGAGAGAACGAAAGGATGCAGCAGCCACCGCCTCCCAGACACTACCCAGAAAGATAGAACACTGCCATCAGGCCAAAGTCCACCTCATTCCCAGTGAGGGCAACAGTGTTCTTTAATAAAAACCACACAAAACAGAGGGCTGAAGAGATGGCTCAGTCTTTAAGGACATTTGGCTTTTTTTTCTAGAGAACTCAAGTTTGACTTCCAGCACCCACATGGTGGCTCAGGACCTCCTCCCACAATTCCTCTCCCTGGATACTCAGGCACTCGACCTCCTTCCCACAATGCCTCTCCCCGGGTACTCAGCCACTCTACCTCCTTCCCACAGTTCCTCTCCCTGGATACTCAACCACTCTACCTCTCTGACTCAAGTTCCTTTTGGAACCCACTTTTAAATTCTCCCGAGGAACCTGCAAAGGGGAATCTGCTCCCATGACTCTGTCTCCTCACTAGCTGCCCTTTCTTTGAAAGACTCTCAAAAGTTTCCTATGGGCCTTGCAATGCTGTGCAGGTGGGCTACATATCTGTACTTAGTAGCTTCAGTGTGACCATAGCGTGAGCACTGAATGCATCTCCTATACAGATGGACTCTGAGAGTTCGAATGAGAAGGGCCTCCATAAAGCCATATATCTGAATGCTTGGAACACAGGTGGAGGAACTGTGTGGAAGGATTAGGAGGTGTGAACTTATTGGAAAAGGTGTGTCACTGGCAGTGTACTTTGAGGTTTCAAAAGCTCACATTATTCCAGTTTGCTTTGTCTATCTGTCTGTCTGTCCTCTCTCCCTCCCTCCCTCCCTCCCTCTGCTGCATGCTGCTCCAGCACTATGCCTGCCTGCTTGCTGCCAAGACTCTAACTCTCTGTAACCATGAACATAACGTGAGCCCCAAATTAAACACTGTTTCAGACGGAGCCTTGGTCATGGTGTTTAGTCACAACACAGAGCAGTAACTAGGACAAACTGCATACCTGTAGTCCAGCAGCTTTAGTGTGACTATGGCATGGACATTGACTCTGGATTCACTAGGTAGTGTCATGGCAGTCGCAGGAACAGAATCATTTTGACTGGTCCCACTATCATCTGGAAAAGAAAGTTATATAAAGTGAATACTACTAATACTACTACTACTACTACTACTACTACTACTACTACTACTACAAAGCCATCTTTAAATTGCTAATAATATATAATAAAAGCATACATGATCGCTACATAGTATTAATAATACTGGTACACAGTCATATATTTATTTTTATAATTTATTTTAATTTTATGTTCATTGGTGTTTTTGACTCCATGTGTGTCTGTGGGTGTGTCAGAAGCCCTGGAACTGGAATCACAGACAGGTGTGAGCTGCCATGTTGGTGCCAGGTCCGCTGGAAGAACATCCAGTGCTCCTAACTGTGCAGCCATCTCTCCAGCCCAATGGTCATATGTTTTATTCCCAACAACTCAGACCTCATTTAAGAACATATTAGTAGAAAATAAAGTTCTACCCACATCACCCAAAATCATCCTACTGTAGCGCAATTTAGCTTTCTTTCTCTTTGGTTTTCTTTTTTTTTTTAATATTTATTTATTTATTTATTTATTTTGTAGACAATATTCTGTCTGTGTGCATGTCTGCAGGCCAGAAGAGGGCACCAGACCTCTTTACAGATGGTTGTGAGCCACCATGTGGTTGCTGGGAATTGAACTCAGGACCTTTGGAAGAACAGGCAATGCTCTTAACCACTGAGTCATCTCTCCAGCCCCTCTTTTTGGTTTTCAAGACAGTGTTTCTCTGTGTAACAGTCCTATCTGTCCTGGAACTCACTTGGTAGACCAGGCTGTCCTTGAACTCCCAGTGCTGGAATTAAAGGCATGGCCTGCACCGCCAGGCAGCTATTTCTTTAGAAAGAATCTTCATAAGACAACTACAGCATCAACAAGAAATCCTTTCTCTTCAGCAAAATAATGATAATGGCCCAGTGGAAGGGTCCGGCCAACATCAGAAAAATACTGTTTCCCTCAAATGTCTACCAAATAATATACCTATCTTTTCATTTGTGATACAATAAAGCTAATGATTTCCAATCATTTAAAATCTGGCAATTTGAATAATGAAGCTTTTGGATATTAAACCACTAAGATGTTTGTTTTCCTGACATGTGAACATACTCACACATTCAACTACCTTACTAATTAGCAGAAACGGAAGCGATCCTACAACAAAAGCAACAAGAGCTACAGTGGCAGGAGCACAACAGAAGCACATGACAGAGTCACATGACTGTGAATCAAATAACTACTTTGAGAAAATTGTTAAATAATTATGCCCCAAGCAAACACAATATGAATATTTCACTCATAAAAACAGAACAAAAGATAGTAGCAACAGAAATAAAAGACCAAGTAAAGCATTAGTAGTATTAATTAAATGTTTTGTTATTTAGAACTTCCTTAGGAGTTTGGTCATATTCCTTTATAACTTTTATTGTTTTTTATTTTTTTATGTGTGCATGTTTTGCCTGCATGCATTACTGTCAGAGTCAAGAAGAGGGTGTCAGACCCCCCGGGACTAGAATTACACACAGTTGAATTAAACCCTGGTCCTCTGGAAAATACAGAAAGAAATGGCAGTACCTTTGATCTTGCTTCGTAGGTATTTTAGGACTTCTTGAGTTCCTTTCTGAAAGGGGGAGACAGAGGCTCACCGTTAGCAAGGCGCACTTGGAAGGTTTGTGCATCAACATGTATGCCTCAATTTTAGTTTAAAAATAAAGTGCTAAATTCTAATAGAACTTACAGCTATAATTTCTCTTCGAATGGTTCTTAGAGGATTTCCTTCTAGTGCCAGGAATTTCAAATGAAGGTTTCCTAATGAGCAGGGCAGACTACAGAACAGATTGATTTCAGGGAAGCATTACATGTATGGCTGAAGCAACCAAGGCATTACTATAAAGTAACAAGTGACAACAACATACCATGTAATCATCTCAAAGAGGAACCATGAACAAACCTAAAATATTTCCCTTCAAATTCTAAACACACAAAGGGACAGCCAGACACATTTCCAACTTCACACTAAAGCTGCTACAGGGCATCTGCTCTATCTGCCCGGTGCTCACAGAGATGCTAAACAACCAGCCATGAGCAATCCCAGCCCAGTGATAAATCAGACTTCACCCAATTACACAAGGGCACCTCCAAAAACTAGAACAAACCCTAGGCTCTTACTATGTAAGATTCTAATTCAGTAGTACCTTACAATCTGTTTTTTCCTTCACTGCTTCTTTAGTGAGCCCAAACTCACCTAGGAAACAGCTACCCAGTGGAAGATGATATGGTGTTTCAGACACAAGAAGGCTGGCTACCTCCTGGCAAGCAGCTCCAGCAGCAGTGAGGAATTCCATGTTACAAAGTCTGGAGGGCACAAACAGCTCCAACGGCTGGAAACCACATACCCTTTCATCATCCACTCAAAACCTACTGTGTGCCTTGCTGTATAATGCTGAGGATCTGCAGACTAATCCTTCCTTCCTCTCTCCCTCCTTCCTTCCATTTATTTACTATAATATACAGAGTTCTGCCTGTAAGTCTGCTGCAGGCCAGAAGAGGGCACCAGGTCTCATTACAGATAGCTGTGAGCCACCATGTGGTTGCTGGGAATTAAACTCAGGACCTCTGAAGAGCAGTCACTGATCTAAAGCACTGAACCACCTCTCCAGCCCCAAGGCTATTCTGTTCTAAACAGTAACTTTTCACCATTCTTTCCGTATGACTGTGCTCTTCTCCAACTCCATCAGCTACTAAAGACAGCTCATCCTGGTTCATCTCCCCCATTTCCATCCCCTTCTCTCCGTGGCCACTGCAGCCACATCACACAGCTGCCAACGAACTGCACTGAGAAATGTTTCTTAGTGACAAATATTACTGCGCTAACTGACAGGCCATCTTTAAAGCCTACCACCCACAAACACCCCTTTCCAGAGACCCCACACTCACCACCATCAACGATCTGCTCTAATTAGCTTGCACTCAAGGGCAGTGTCTTCATGGTGTGTTGGTGGCTCTGAATTAATTAAAACTGATTATTTGGCCTAAATTCTTAGACTTCTCTTCTTGGACCCTATTAAGAATTCCCAAAGCTCTGTGTGTGTTGTTTCCTCCTGATGTACGGATCATACACACTAACTTTCACATGAAATTAAACATCCCAATTTAAAGATCAGCTGCTGGAACTCAGGTGTGTAGCACCAGGCAACTAACCTGCTTCACTCTAGTCTTGATCCTGCCTAAGTTCTCTAATCATAAACCCTTTGTCACCCAAGTACTTATGTTTCTCTCAATTCTAGGTTCATCATCCAAGCCCAATAGATACCTATGAAATATTTGTTGTCAAAGCATGAATAATAACTATCTGGAGATGAGGCCATGTGCGAAAATGATTCAAAACAGCCCTTAAGAGTTCTTAAATAAGTCAGATGTGGTGGGTGCATGCTTTAATCCCAGTACTTGGCTGTCAAGGAAGAAAACTAATCCTTCTCTCTATACAGTATGAGCTCACTACGTAACTAAGAGTTTTTTTAAAGGACTTACAAAAACACAATCCAATGCAGAATGAGTTCTAATTTCTAGCCATTTAATCTTTACGCATACCTACTGATGTCGTTGTTGCTCAAGTCAAGCCTTTCCAGACACTGCAGCAGGGACAGTTCCTCAGGCACAGACCGCAGCTTGTTGCCCCTTAGGTCCAGCACCAGGATGGCCTGCAGGTGCTGAAGATGCTCTGCGCCTAACATTTCAATCTGGTTTTCACCGAGATGCAATTCCTATGAAACCAGGTATAGGAAATTTCATTCAGCTTACACTACACAGTGAAAACAAGTGTGAATACTCTTGGTTCTAAATCACTACAACACAGAGAAAAATCAACACTGTAATTATCATGGTATTTAGATATAACCTCTTTTAAAGCGAAAATACAATGAAAGAAAAACATTTTTTGACAATTTAAAATAAATATTGTTCAACCTGGCAGAAACATTCTTTACAACACTAGAACAGAGAAACAATTTATTACTTACATTTACATGTATAAATATATGCACAATACTGATGAAGAACTAGTTTCAGAACAACTGAATCCAATTCAAAACTGTTTCCACAGTAACAAGTGCTACAGAATTATCACTAGAGACCATTACATACACCACCTTCCTAACAGAATCTAAAACTACCAATAAAAACGTACCATAGTGAATGGAATTTCCCAGCACTTTTAAAAATGCACCATTATGATTCAATTTAAAAGAAACATTCCTGACACCAAAAGAGAACAAAGGCAGAGCAAATCCAGCAGGAGGCAGCACTAATGTTACATCAAATGTTAGTGTCAAAAAATTAATTCTGGAAATGCCACTGCAATGAGAAAAACCTGAAAGGTGGCAGAACGAAGAATAAGGCCCACACCTCCCCCACGGCGGCTAAGGGCCTCACACAGCACACGGCAGAGCTCCTCACCTCACTACAAGGCCTCACACAGCACAGCACACGGCAGAGCTCCTCACATCACTACAAGGGCCACACACAGCACACGGCAGAGCTCCTCACCTCACTACAAGGCCTCACACAGCACACGGCAGAGCTCCTCACCTCACTAGAAGGCCCCCTCCAGACACAAACGACTCACCACATGAAGCACACCAAGTCCTACTCTGGAAAATGAACATCTCTTTCCATCACCAACAAATTATCAGTCCTCTCAGTAGTAGACTGAAATGTTGAAAGACATCAACAAAGAAAAATACAATCTATGGACTACTTATGATCAAAGATTAGCTACTTTTTAAAAACCTCAACTTCATAAATAACTTTTGGGAAACATTCAATGGTGTAAGTATTAACTAAATAGTACCTTTAGTTGCCTAGAAGAAGGAAATTCAGGTAGAACACGTAATTTATTCCTCCGCAAATAAAGCAATTCCAGTGATTCCATGCTGCCCACATCAGGGGGCACAGTCTCCAGGAGATTGGAGTCACAATCCAAATGCTTCAATCCTACAATACATATTCAAAGATAATAAAAAATACTTTAACACAGAAAACTAGCAGACCTAATAAACATGTCACAATGAAGACTTCTGAGCTTGTTCTTATACATATCAAAAACATGCATGTGTCCTTGAACTGAATGAGTGAAAATTGATTTTTACATTTAATTAAAGATAAATGGTAATGTTAAAAATCAATATTGAATAGTCCAGATCATCTTTGAAACACAGAAAAGTACAGGTTCTCTGCTAAGCTACTCTTAAGTATACGAGTGGCATAAGCTGCACCGCTCTCAATTACAGTCTTTTAAGAGCTGAGTGCAATTAAAGGCATCTAAAGATATATGTATATTTGATGGATGAGGGAATGTGATGAACCTGTCCTATGAACCTGTCAGTGGCTTAGACAGATTTGTATCTTCATGCAAGCCTTGGATTTCTATATACTCTTTCCCATTCTTTTACCTATCCATGTTGCCTCTTCCTTTTCTCAACCATTTTTTCTGTGTGCAAACATACATGTATACATATGTTTGCATACAGATACATATGCTTGTGCATGTGAAGAACAGATGTTGCTGTTCAGTATCTTCTCTTTCACACCCATGTTTTGAAGGGTCTCTTAATGAACTTGGACCTCACTTCTCCTCACTGAGGTCTACATGTGTGCCAGGAATCCAGACTCAGAACCTCATGCTTGCACGCACGCATTCTGTCATAAGCATTTGATGATGTGAGATATCTTTCTGTATATGGATTTACATTTGGCAAATTAAGTACTCTATCATCTATCCTATCTTTGAAGTCTAAAGTTTTATATCTAATTTATCTTTTAACCTAACTAAGAAAAACTATTATAACTATCTAGTCTTCAACTCCATCAAAGACCGTAGAAGGATATAATATGACCTAAGTAAACAGGAAGTAGAAGCAACTTCCAAACCTCTAGGCTTGACAGACACATCTTACTGCCTGGACAGCCACCCAAAGTTCTTTTGTAACACTGGGGCATCCATCTTCAGCCTACAGGCTCATAGATTTCCCTAGCTCTAACATGGCTTCCCTAATATCTAACTAATCTGTACAATAAGATCAAACTCTGTATTTAAAGAATGACTTTACTTCCAGCATCTTCATCTCCTGGATACTTCTTCTCCATTCGATTCTGGAGACAGGGCGTCTGTCCTCCTCACTACATTGTCCTTCTCGTTACATGCTGCTTAGTTCAGTGTAGTGACATTTTTGAAAATGGCAAAGATAAGTAGGATCTTAAGTTCCAGTACTTTAGGTCAAGGCCTGCCCAAAATAATTTCTTTAACAGAACCGTAAAACATCAAAGATATACAATTTAATTCAAACTTATCTATAATCAGTTGTATAAAAATCACATTTATGTGATTTTTTTCATAAAAATCTTTCATAAAATAGAGACTTAAAAATATGAATAGGAGCGGGGCATGGTAACTGCCCTGTGTAATCCCAGCACTAGGGAGGTGGAAGCAGGAAGACCAAGGCCAGGTCTGAGGCTAGCCTGAGTTACATGAGATAGTATAACTCAAAATCTTTATCAATTTTTCATTATCTAACTTTTAATTATATTTTCTTGAAAAAAGTATTAAAGATTATTAGCCAAAAGACTAGCTATGATAAACGGTTTACAATGGGTGCTGTAGTCCAATCATGAACCCAGAAATACTGTTTTCTGCCTTTAAACAAAAAAGTTTACACTCTACATCAAGAGCTGAGACAGTTCAAATACAGAGGCACCAAAGTGCACCCGTGTCCTTTAATGTTATCTCCGCAACACTATACACTGGCGATGAAAAGCTACAGCTGTATCCCCCGCACATCCCAGGTGGAGACAGCTGAGGAGGAGAGGATGGTGAATAAACTCACTGAGACAGCATGAAGCAGTCTCTCCATCAGTTGCCCAGTGTGCACTTTTCCTCTGCTCCCCAGTCACATTTCATTCTGTCCTAAGCCTACATGGGTTTTGGTAGACATTCTTTAGGCAAACCCTAGATATAATGGTCTGGAGAAAATCAAAAAAATTTACTTTCTCTATAATTATCCTCTTATTTTTCTAAAAGAAAGCTGCTTTAACGTTGAATTCATACAGTACTTAATATGGAGATTTACTTTTCATTCTGCTTATTTCTGCTGGCAAACTTTTCAACTGGTTACTGGAAAGATTGAGCCTCAGCAGACTGGACAGCAAAGCAAAACCAGCAGGCACAGCTGCAAGACGATTGCTTGAAAGATCCTTTAAAGAGAGGAGGAAATGAACCTATCAGTGACTAAATAGCAGTAAATAGATCCATGAAAGAAATTTCAGAGCTATGAAGGAATTTTAACATGAGATGGAATTTCAGAAGAATAGGTATTTTCAACTTCAGCCATCATCTCATAGACCATATTCATTCAAATGCTCCTCTTCAACACCTGCAGGTCCACTACATATCCACCAAAGTCATGGGCAGGAATTAAAATCAGTTCTTATTTCAAAAGAATTGTACCTGACAGTGTCTACTAATCCCCAGTCTCCCCTCACTATGCAAGCCCTCTGCAGTAGACCATGTGACACAAAAGAAGGTAAAGGGTTAAGTAAGGATAGGAAGGGGGAGGAGAAGCAGAAAGAGTGGGGGTGGGTTACACAAACCTAGGATGTATGAAAAATCCTTTTCAAAAAACAAAAAACCCAGTACCGTGTAACCTAGGTAAAAAATACAATTAAAGAGGCCAGAAAGACAGCTTAATGGTTAAGAGTTCATACTGCTCTTGCAGAGGACCTGAGTTTGGGTCCTAGTACCCATGTCAGGCAGCTTTCTACCTACATATAACTCTAAGACCAGGTGATCTAATGCCCTCTTCTGGCCTCCACAGGTATACACACTTAAATGCACATATACACATACACATAAATATAATTAAGAACAAAACTTTATATGCATGAGTGTGTGTGTGTGTATTTATGTAAAATTTAAAGAAAAAGGCATTTTAACATTGGTAGACAGAATTGCTTCCAGAAGACATGGGTCATTAAACAAAAATCTCAGTGCCAGGCATAGCTTACCTCCCTATGAGTTATTGGTCAGGGAGGTCTCAAAGACACCCCCCCCCCCACAGCAATACAGGCTAGTGGCATTGCTTTTGGCTGTTCACCGTAACTAGACAGTGGCAAGACCCTATTGCTGAAGACATCATACACTGGTTGCAGGGCAAAGATAATCTGAATTCAATAGGAAATGTCCTCCACGTTGGCTAGCTCTCAGAATGCCAGAAGGTGCAGCCACCGGGGGAGAAGGGATACAACAAGCTTACTCAATACTGGACTGTGCATGCTGCAATACTGACCTGCTAGGCAAGATGCACCAGATGCACCTACAGTAGTGGCTTGTAGTTTACAACAGCTTTATGCTAGGATGTGAGGCCTGCACCACGGAAGAGAATTCAGGCTGGCATTGTAAACACAGTCAAAAGCTCATGGGCGGTGAAGGCAAGGTACAGGATCTGACTACTGTGGTATTGCTAAGTGGTCACACTGTTAAACTGCCTTCTAAACGTTTATAAGCATAGATAAGTGCTGCTCTCGATTTTGACTACAAAAGTTTCTTGAGGTGGGCCACAGTTACTATAAACACAGCTAGTCAACGTGCTGAGGAACCTGAGTGCTCAGTCCTGAGAGAGAAATCTATAACATCCCCTGAAGTGCAGGAGCACTGGGGAAAAAGTGGTAGAAAGAAATGTAAGGGCTGGAGATGGCATAGCCACTCAACTCACAGCAGCTGTGGTCAGCTGCACACAAGCAAGCCAAGTTAAGTCAACATTCCAACATTCTAACAGAATGCACCAGGTAACAAACACACAAAAAGGAAATGAAAATGTGAGGGCCTAACTTGGGCAGTGGTGGCGCATGCCTTTAACACCTGCACTCAGGAGGCAGAGGCAGACGGATCTCTGTGAGTTTGAGGCCACCCTGACCACAGAGTGAGTCCCACGACAGCCACAGCTACACAGAGAAACCCTGTCTTGAAAAACTAACCAAACCAAACAAAAAAATGTGGGGGTATGAGATGGGTTGGGAAGGAAAAGTTGGGGTGGGCATGACCAAGATACATGGAATACATGTATAAAATTTTCAAAGAATAAATAAATATTCTAAAAAATAAAATTGGAAGTCAGATTGGAGGGCATTTGGGAACTCTCCTCACTGTATTTTTACAGTCTTTGCATAATCCCAAAATTATTCCAAAATGAGTTACTGACATAGAAGAGTTTCCAACTAAGAAATTCTGAAACCATGTGAAGAACTCAAATTATTTTAGTAACTTCTAAACAGTATTAAAATAGTCACCATTTTCGGATTGAGGTCAAGGTAAGATCCAGGGACTGGCTGCTTTGCTTTTCTGGTCTTCAGGTTGAACCCCAATATCTGTCTCTGAGTTTTTATTAATCGTGCTTCAGGAAGGTATACATACAAAATAAATACTTAAACACTCAGAAATAACTTGTCCATTAATAAGAAATAAAACTTAAGGCTAAAATAATAACTCAGTTCTCTAAAACATGCCAAGGACAAGAGATCAGTGGAAAATAATGAGAACACATACTATGGGCTGAAGTCTCTCAGTCAGAGGACTGAGCCTTCCTATTGAAACACCTTATGGTAGAATCTCACTCATTTTTAGAGGAAAACCATCTTTAAAATTTAATTTCATTCTTTTTCAGCTGCATGACTTAGGACAAATTTCCTGTTGTTGTATAATCCTGGGTTTCTCGCTGTATTAAGGGTCAGACCTACTTATCTTGTCATATATAAACTGTCTATGGTTTTATTCTTAAAATTATTAAAACAATATTGTACTGACTTATGGCTGACTCTAGTCGAGGAAGGTGAAACAGGCAGCAGGAAAGATTTGCCAGAAAAGGCGCCAGTCTGAAAACTGGAGTAGATTGGGATATGCAGGGCACCAGGGCCATCGGCTCGCACAGAAAGTAGGATATACTAATAGAGAGGACAAGAAAACAGAACTGTACTTTGAAGACTGCTCCCCTCTATCCATTAAGGTATAAAAGACTCTGGGATAGGACTGGGCAGACTGTTCCGGGGTTAAGAGCACTGAATGGTGAAGCCCAGGTTTGGGTCTCAGCACCTACATGACTCACACTTTCTGTAACTCCAGCTACACTCTGGTATCTGGAAGAGTGTTAGATACTCTGAATCTGTAATTATGATTTTCTGATTGAATAACAAAGGCAGGTCCATTGTTTCTCTTCCAAACTCTATTTCTGAATTATAACCTAAAATTCACTTGACAACAAAAAGAACAAGTTTACAGTTAGTAACTTAGCAATAATTTCTGGTAAGCTACTCACAAAGTCAGCTGTCTGTGTCCTACAATTTGAATCATAATTTATTTCTTCAGTCTAGTAAAAATTCCCACCAGTCCCAAATCATGCAAACATCAAAGAATCCCCACTTACTAAATCTTCTAAGCTGGAAAGTTGCTCAAAGCCTTCAGGTAGGCATGTCAGCTCATTGTGTTGGAGGTGCAGCGCCTTCAGGTTTTTTAAACTTGTAATTTCTTCAGGAAGCATTTTCAGTTTGTTATGGCTATTGTTGAAATAAATGCTGAGTGACTTGGTAGACTATATAAGATACATAAGAAATACTTAAAGGCATTTTTGTCAACTAACCACATAGACTCATCATAAAAATCAAATGGTGCTATCTGTCCAAGTGTTTATCAAAATCCATATCTCCAAAATATACACTCATCAGCAGAAATATAAATCAACGAAGTTAACAATTTGTAAACTTTTGGTTGCTTGCTTATAATCTGATTATTTAAAATACAATGTGAAAGGGACTTATTGAACTCCTAGATTTTTATATTGTTTGTGAAAAAATGTTTGCATACATATTACAACAAAACTAAACATATTTTTTTCCTAACATTTACTTTTATGTGTCTAGGTGTTCTGCTGGATGCATGTCTGTGTGTCTGATGTGTACTGATGCCAGAAGAGTGTTGGATACTCCAAAACTGGAGTTGTGGACAGATGTGAGCTGCTGTTGTTCAGATCTCTAGAAGAGTATACAATGTTCTAACTGTTGACCCATTCATCTCTCCAGCCCCTCGAGCTGTATCTGACAGAGGTGGGGTTTTAATTTCACATCTAAAACAAAAGCTGTTATTTCTATTTTCAGGTCTGGTAGGTTTGGCAATACTCAATTTGTTTCTATACTTGCTTGGCCTTTTTATTTGAAGCCTTCTAAAGAGACACTCAACCTGCTGATGTAAAAGTTGCAGCAGGACAATACACTTCCTGGTAATTAAGAGACGAATGAGGCCTTGGTACTGTGGCTTAGTTAGTTAAAGCACCTGTCTAGTAAACAGGAGATCCTGGATTCAAATCTCAGCAGTGCCTTTGGTTTTTGTTTCGTTGGTGTTTTTCGAGACAGGTTTCTCGGTAGCTTTGCTGCCTGTCCTGGAAGTCACTCTGTAGACCAGGCTGGCTTCAAACTCATAGAGATCCGCCTGTCTTAGCCTCCTGAGTGCTGGGATTAAAGGTGTGTGCCACTAACACCCGGGCCAGCAATGCCTTTGTTCAGCATAAAAGTTAGTGCATTTTCCTGTTTTTAACTGGAGTTAACCTTTACTGATTACAGGGCATAGTGGTGCATGCCTTTAATCCCAGTACTCAGGAGGCAAAGCAGGTGGATCCCTGGAAGTTCGAGGCCAACCTGGTCTACAGTGGAAGTCCAGGATAGCCATGGCTGTTACACACAGAAACCCTGTCTTGAAAAACACCAAAAGAGAGATGCATGAACAAGTCTCCAGGTGCATCACAGCTTAACTATTCAATTATAAAATTTACCCTATTTTCTTATGTTAGCTTACATATAACAGGGGAAAATGAAATACCAGGAACTTTGTATTAATTATATTACACCAAAATGAAACTACATAGATGAATACCCAAAAGTTTCTGACTACTGAAGGCTGCTGAGCTGATGTCAGGATATTGACAGGACCTAGTTAGGGAAGGCAGTCAGTCTAGCTGTCTGCTTTATTCCTCCATTTCCTTTCCCTACCCATCACTGTACCTAGATGGACTAAGCCCACCTTACTCCTTGCTCACCCTTTTCTTGTCCAATCCTTTCTTCCTGCTTTGAGGTCCATATGCCTGGCTTCGTGGGAGGAAGAGGCTCCAGGGCAGCTTCAAATGCAGCAATCTTGCTGCAGTGCATTAAGCTTTCACCAAACTGTTATTACAGGACTTGTTTTTCTCCTAGTTAATGTACCACCAAAAACCACCTTCAAGTATATTATGTCCAATACATCTGTAACTATATGTATTTTATAAGCAAGTGAGTTTGTTTGTTCTTCTGAAAGAGTATCAGAGCTGGAATCTATATAACATAGATAGACAAAGGAACTTTCTTAATCTGGATGTGTACTGGCAGCAGAAGATTAGTTACCACCTTGGGTGCCTAGCCGCATACACATTAGTAACGTAGTACCAGAAATATGTTTACGCAGCCCAAAGGTGCTTGGACACATTTAACTACTAACTGTAAAGTCATGAGGGCCGCAGCTTAGCTCAGTGGCCGAGCATACATGAGATCCCGATTTCTCTACCAGGTACCACAAAACCAAAACTCAAACCAAAACCAACAACAACAAAATTCTTCACTATTAGTGATATAATCAGCATTTCTAACCTAATGTGTAATACCTAGATTTTTAGGCTATCATGATAATTTAAAACCTGAGATTCTGATGGTTTTCTAAAACAAGAGTCAACAGCATCTCCTAAACATAAAACATAAAAATCAATAGGCCTTTAACTTGTAAAGTCAAACAGGATGTAATAAATTCTAAAAACCAAACAAATATATAAATAAAGTAGCTGGGTATGGCCCCACAGACTTGTGAAGCTAAGGCAGGAGTCTCTGATCATAGCAGTTTGGAGTCACACTGGGCCAAACAGCAAGCCTCCTCAACAGAGAAAAAACATAACTGAATCATTAAATTCTTCTTCTTCCGTAACTAGTTTCTGAGATGATGCAAAGATCTGGTCTTATTGTTCTGCCTTTGGTCTAGGGTAGAATACAGAGTCTGATAAGTGTTCAACCCTGCTTCCCACTGGGCCACATTGTGGCTCCAGGTGATTTTCTATGTGAAGAAAAGGGATTTCAAGTTCAGACCACTGTAACTGCAATCTTAGAAACAGGTGCACACTTTACCTGACGTTAAGTTTCTGAAGATTGTCTAGCTCTCTGATAGCTGAAGGGAGCGATGTCAGCTGATTATCATGTATCTAAAATAAATACAAGGCAAAGTCAACATTCTCAGTCTGACAATTAGCAATATTTGAGCTTTGACACTGAACAAAATTATTCACTAAACCCATTCTTCAAACTCAATGGCTACGTGTTGGGTGATTAGTAATCTCTTGTATCAGTATACAAACTGTGACTGTAACCAAACTGTTACTCAGAAATCGTGAAGTAACAAGTTAGGAATTTAAACATTACCAAAATGAAAAGAGACAAACACAAACTTAACCCTAGTAGGATTTAGGCAGGTCACACACAGAGCAGACAGACATGAGCAGGAGAACAGCTTCATATTGATGTGGGAGTGTCATATCAATCTGTTGATTTCATTGGTTAAGCAATAAAGAAACTGCATGGCCCTCATAGGTTAAAACATAGGTGGGTGGAGTAAACAGAACAGAATGCTGGGAGAAAGAAGCTGAGTCAGTGAGTCGCCATGATTCTCCCACTTCAGGCAGGCGCAGGTTAAAATCATTCCTGGTAAGCCAGCTCGGGGACTACACAGATTATTAGAAATGGGCTAGTCCAGGTGTGAGAGTTAGCCAAGAAAAGGCTAGATATAATGGGCCAAGCGGTGTTTAAAAGAATACAGTTTCTGTGTAATTATTTCAGGGCATAAGCTAGAGCTAGCCATGTGGGTGGCCGGGTGCCGGAACATAGCCCCGCCGCTCCTATTTCAACATCATATTCTCAGACTCATACTGTCTGCACAGCACAAAGGACCTCAGAGTAGGACAGACTGTTGTTTGTTATTTTACAGACAAAACAAATACACCTCCAAAAATGGCACTACCTACATCCATCATTTCCACATGAACGGAAGGGACACTGTGCCATTGCCAAGTACACTAAGAGCCTAAAGATTCTGAAATAAATCCTTTGTACTTCACTTACCCCATGACAAGAAAACCTGCACTACAAAACAGACTCAATTAAACCCACAAAAAATTCGGTTGAACAGTTTCAGTCTGAGGTTAAGAAAACCAGAATGTAAGATGCCCTGAGTCCTGTACTTGCCTTGGTGACTAGAATAAAAGGTAACAAAGAAAAAAAATACAGCCAGGTGCCAGTTCTATTCACACACTGACTCGTTTAAACCCAGGGTCTCCACCAGGACTGTGTGCTTGGAAGATGCAGCCAACCTTCTGACTCAGACTGTCATTTATCTTGCATTCTACATGCTCAGCAAGGAAGCTTTCCTGTTTAGCAAAGCATAAATTTAGCTCTTCCATTTGGCATGAACTAAGTCTTTTCAACTAAAATACCATAATTATAGTCAACTTACATCAAGAACAGTGAGGGCAGGCAAGAGCCGGAGGTCGTCAGAGAGAGACTGGAGTTTATTGCTGGAGATGATGAGTTTGGTCAGATCTGTCTGGTCCCACCATCGTTCAGTAGAGCTGAATGAAAGATTCTGATTGGCCTCCTCAGGGATGTCCACATTTATTCTCCAAACACACTGAGGGACTATCTCCATCACCAGCATACCAAAGAGAAAAGAGAAAAATAAAAATGAAATGAATACTAATGGACACACTCGTTGCATACTTAGCTTACAAATGAATCCAAATAATTCCCAGGGCCCAAAGGACAGCTCAGTGCAAGTATCGGTTACTTTTCTATTGCTGTGATAAAACACTATGACAAAGGCAACTTACTAAAAAAAGTGTTTAATTTGGGTAATGGTTTCAGAGCACCAGAGTTCATGGAGTAAAAGATCAGCTGAGAGGTTGAATCGCAGCCTGAGCCACAGACATGATGCAGAGTTTGATTACTAGCACTGAAAACACAAAATACAAAACTAAAATCTCCTAACAACTCTGAGACATGTGCTATTAATATTCCCATTTTGTAGGTGAAAAAAAATGAGTAATCAAGAAAATAAACTCAGGGTTCAACAACTATGTCAGGACTGCAGTCTAAGCCTTAAAGAGCCATTTCCCAGCACAGCTTATGAAAGGTATCCAACCCTAGCAGCTACTCTCCATTTTACCAGACATAATTGTTTCTTATCTGTAGACAGAGACTGCTCGTTTGCTTCCCAGCCACCCAGGCCCAAAATAAACACACAGAAACTATAGCAATTGCAATACTGTTTGGCCAATAGCTTAAGTGTATTTCTAGCTAGCTCTTACAGCTTAAATTAACCCATTTCTATTAATCTGTGCATCACTATGTGGTTGTGGCCTACTGGTAAGGTTCCTCTGGTGTTCACGTGTCTGTCTCGGCCTACTGGCTCTCTACATCCCTGTTCAAGTTTCCCGCCTAGCCTTACTCTGTTAAGCCATTGGCCAAAAGCAGCTTTATTCATTAACCAATAAAAGCAACACAAATACAGAAGGACTTCCCATACCATTTCCCCTTTTCTGTTTAAATATAATACCTTAATCAAGAGCATATATATATATATATATATATATATATAACAAAATTGATGTTAAAATTTTTTCAATAAACCAAGATCCATACCAATGCAAAGTATTCCTATCTATAGCAATTCCCCCCTTTAAATGTAAACAAACATCTATAAGGAATCATTTAGGGAATTTGGGTTTTGTTGCCTAGACTACTTCCTGCTTACTGGAGGCACTGTGAATGGCGTTTGAGAGACTGGACCAGGTGGGACATGCATTAGCCACCCTAACTATGACAACCAGTGATGGTATATTACTGAGCAATAACTGATTTTCAATGCATGTACATCTTTATGGTTTAATGGTTTTGAAGTCATAGCAGTCTGTTTCTTCCTTGATGAGAGGTATTGGAGACTGAGCCTTCAAGAACAGTCTTCACTATAAAGACATCCTTCAAAACTCCAGACTACATATCCAAACCGACAGATGTACAAACTTCATCACAGAGCTATTTTTAAAAAAGCACGAAAAAAGCAAGGAAATATGAACCCTCAAATATTGCAACTGCTCTTCACAGATATTGAAATAGGCAAAATTTCATGAAACTTTCAAATTTTCTGGTAGGACATTATCAATAAATTAAAATATACAAACAAGCAGATGATTTCAATATAGCCTTAGGGAAGAAAGTCACTGGAACAGATGAAAACATTAACAATATGGATGGAAAAGTCAGCAACATGGAAGAAAAATTCAGAAAGGATACTGAGATTTTTAAAAAGTCAATTAGCATCGTCAAGACAATCCCCCCACAGACCCATGCACAGGCCAAACTGTGCTGATCCTAGAAAAACACTTTCCTATTACTCTCCCAGTGCAGTGAAAGGGGTTTCTCTACAATGATACTGACCCTCTTATCAAATATAACTCCTTTCAGCACCAGCCTGAATGCCTTCATGCTAAAAGTGTCTCTTGCAGGGCGGTGATGAGGCACGCCTTTAATCCCAGCACTCGGAAGGCAGAGCCAGGCAGATCTCTGTGAGCTCGAGGCCAGCCTGGTCTACAAGAGCTAGTTCCAGGACAGGCTCCAAAGCTACAGAGAAACTCTGTTTCGGGAAAACAAAATTGCCTCTGCCAAACAAATCAGTAGTACTTCATCTTCAATTCAAACTCCCTCAGGTACTTAGGACATGGGTAGAAGGAAAGCCACATTCTTGCCCCAAACACAATGAGAATGACTGATAATGAAGTCCTTGTCTCCTTATGAAACCTCAAGGGTCAGATCTCCATTGTCTGCATCCGTATCCTTCAACTTCCCATTAAAAAAAAAAAAAAGCCCATTAAGCCCTGCCCATAGCATTCAGTCTTTCCTAGACCTACGTTCCAAAATATTCCACATTCCAGCCATAAAACAGTTCGAATGTCATAGGAACCACATCGTTTACCACAGCAATGACTCCACTTTCTGGGTGTTTAAGTCTAAATGAAGAGAAAGGTCAAAGTACCTGACTATCATCTATCTCATAGCTAATTTACTCCCAAACGACGATGTTAATCCCAAGGAACACTCCGTGTAAGCCATGCCCACTGTCCTAGTAGGACCTCTTCCAAGAGACGACGCGGGTGGGTGCCCAGGGGACCCGCCCGCCCAGCCTCGGAGAGGCCGTCTACGCCCTACCTCACCTTCCCCGAGGTTCCTTCCCGCCAAGTTGAGCTGCCCGCTGCTCCTCGCTGCCTTCAGGAGGCCCTGGGGAACTGAGGGGCCGCTGTCCTTGCCCTCCGCGTGAAATCCCGCACGAGGGTCAAACCTTGATGTTCTCAGCTGGCGCGACATATTCAAACCCTCCTTCGGGCAACTCCGGGCGCGGCCGTGACGTCAGAGCACCGCGCCGCAGCTGGGCCGCCCCGCCCCTTCCGGCTTGCCGTGCTCCACCTCTCGCCATTGCTGCGCGCGCTGATGTCGTCACCGCCAGCTCCCGGGGCCGTCGGACCGACGAGCTCTTCCGTTGCCCTTCCCAGCCTCGCACTGCGGAGAAACTTCTTTCGGGTAAGCGGGTCTCACGGGCCGAGGGGCCCTCCGGGTGGCAGGGGCGCCCACGCGTCGCGGTCGGGGGCGTACTGCGCTGCCCACCGTCGCGTCAGAACGTGGCGGCGACGAAATCCGAGAGGCGGTGAGGCCTACGGCCTCGGGCGCCCGGCTAGAGGGTGCTGGGCTCGGCGAGTCGGTTGTTTAGAGTCGAAACCGCGGTCCGGGACGGCGAGTGGCACGAATTGAACCTTAAAGACGTGTGCCCGCCTGACAGCGGAAAGCTGCGGTGGATGACGAGCCCGCGTACAGACTGACTTTATGCAATTGAGCCCACGCTTAGGAAGCTCATTTTTCACTCATTGATGGAGAGTGCAGTCTAGTGAAGTTTTAAAAATTCCTGACAGTGGAAGTATAAATATTGAGCCTTGGCTGGAAATACGAAGTGAAGTTTTGCTTAATAAGTAGCTATTTCCTGTTTGATTTCCACCCGGTATTAGAAGATATTGATTCCTCACTTAGAAGACCTAGCCGCCGGCTTCCTTGGGTCGGGGATGTAGCTCCAGGGTACAGTGCTTTCCTAACGTAGGCAAGGCCGTAAATTCCATGCCCGGCGCTGCACCAGACTTCTTTGTCTGAAATTGCTTTATATTACATTCCTCTAACTTTAGTGTGCGGTTTGAGCGCGCGTATAGGATTTCACGTGCCCATGGTACCTCTGGAGATCAGAGAACCACTTGAGGGGGTCGGTTCTTTTTCCACCAAGTGGGATGGAACGCAGGTTGTGCGAGTCCGTGGTAAACGACTTTACCTGCTAAGCTATCACGCCGGTGTGGAAATTTTTATGGGTCTGGGGTCATTCAGAGATTTACAAGTCTGACCATTAGTAATAACTTTTAACAGGAGGCTTTTAGGTACTGGTGCCAGGTCTACACCCGGTACTCGGTATTGCAAGGCTCAGCCAACTCAGTCGGGGGTTTACAAAGGCAAAGAATACAAAGTTATAATTTGTTCTGGTGCAAGCAGGAGGTTCCCTGGCTTGTTTAGAAGTAGAAACTACAATAAAAATTTAACCCTTAACAGCCTGTAACATTTGGAGGTCTAATTTTGCTTTATAGTTTTCTTAAGCGCAGAGAGTTTAAAATTTTTCAACATAGCCATGAGCATAATGTTAAGATCAGAGAAATTATTTTTATTTATTTACTTTATGTGTGTGGGTATTTGCCTCTTTGTCCTAACAAGGTATCAGAACCTTTGAAACTATAGTATGGATGATTGTGAGTGCAGGGATCAGAGCTTTGGTGGTCTGAAAAAACAGTAAGTGCTCCTAACCGCTGAGCCATCACTCCAGACCTGATTTATTTTTCTTTCTTTTAAATGTAAAGAGCATATGTAATAAAACGTCTCCATAATTCTTGTCACTCTACAGAGGACAAATGGTATTAGTTGAAAAGCAGATATGCGGCCGGGTGGTGGTGGCAGCCCATGCCTTTAATCCTAACACCTGGGGTGGGGGGGGCAGAGGCAGGCAGATCTCTTGTGTATTTGAGGCCACATCTGGTCTACAATAACTAGTGCCAGGATAGGCACCAAAGCTACACAGAGAAACCCTGTCTTGAAAAATAAACAAACAAAGACAGAGGGGGCGGGGAGGGAGGGAGGGAAGGAGAGAGAGGAAGAAGGGGGGGGGCAGTGGAGTGGTCTGGCAATTCTGCATTACTATCAATTTCACCCAAATGTATTTTGGATTTTTTGTTTTAGAATCTACAGAATCTCACTCTGTAGCCCTAGCTAGCCTGGAACTTGAAGAAATACACTTTGCCTGTCAAGTGCTAAGGTTAAAACCGTGCCACCACACCCAGCATATTTCTATATTGATAGATATGAACTGACATAAGGATCTAACTAGTATAAGTTCATAATACTTGTGTATTATGTTTATATAGCATTGAAGAATGAATACGTGTTAACCAAAATTCTTGTAATTTCAAAAATTATCTATTTGTTGTTAATTGATAGAAGCCAGAAACTAATTCATGAATTGGGCTTCTTTATAAAATATCTATGACTATAGTCTTGAGAACTAGCTCTGGGAATTATGAATCTTGAATTACTTTAATGCATTTAAAATTAAACACCTTGTCCTTTTTTGGTGGTGGCATTTAAATCAAAATGCTGCAGATTGAAAAATATGGGACAAATGGAAGGCTCAGAGGTTAAAAGCACTTAATTGCTCTTCCAGGGGGCCTGTTTCAGTTCACAGCACTTACATCAGGCGGCTCAAAATTACCTTTAACTCTGGCCCATGAAAGCACCAGCACACACGTGGTGCACATAAACGTATACATATATACAATACATATACATAAATAAAAATGCTTTTTAATAGATATTGTACATTATTAAAGTTACCAAATCTTCTGGGACTGCAATTCAGTGATAGAGCACTTGCATATCATGCAAAGGGTTTTGGTTCTGTCCCCAGCTCCATGGAATAGTGAGAAGGAGTCCTCTATCCAGCTGAAGAACACCCACCTTTTGTTATGGAGGTGTTTGGCTATGGTTTATATGCATTTTAGTTAGTATCCTAACAGAAGAAACCAAAAACACATTAGCAATCAAGTCATCCAGAAAGTACTACTTTATTTCATGACAGAAAGTAAGACTTATTATCAAATAAAGATAGGGTAATCTGTTCTTACCATTACAATTTAATCAAACATTTTCTAAGATGACCTTGTCACTCATGAAAATTTACATATAAGACTTTTCTCTAAGATGAAAGCTACAATTGATGATGGGTTTATTGAAATAAGTAGTTTCAATTCTAGTAAGAAAAAAGGAGATAAATTTGTGCAGATTTTTCAAACACACTTGTTTGCAAAATTCAAGCAAGCACAGAGAACTTGATTTGCAGACATTTCTCAGTTTATTTTTGTAGAAGCCTGTTTTGAATCAGTATCATTTTTGTTCTAGAATATTGCTTACATTTTATTATGTCAAATGTTACTGAGAGAACATTTTGCTTTTCTTTAAAATTTTCAGTTTGCGGGCTGGAGAGATGGCTCAGAGGTTAAGAGCATTGCCTGTTCTTCCAAAGGTTCTGAGTTCAATTCCCAGCACCCACATAGTGGCTCAAACCATCTGTAATGGGGTCTGGTGCCCTCTTCTGGCCTGCAGGCATATAGACAGAATATTGTATACATAATAAATAAATAAATATTTTTAAAAAATTTTAGTTTGCAATTCAACTTTTGATATCTTTTTATAACAGCCAACTTCTAAAAGTAGTCAATGAAATGCATCCCTTGCTGCCTTTAAAGACAGAATATATTTAGTGTGTTTATTCCCAATTTCAAATGTAGCTTTGACTTGTATTTTGTTACTGTTATTGAAGTTGTGGCCATCTTGGTTTTGATGAGGAAAATGTGTTGTTTGGGATTTTCTTAGCTTGTGGGTTTGTGTTTCACTGCTTCTCTCCATGCTTGTGCATGGTGAAGCAGCCACACTGCTCTAAGACAGTCACCATGGTTCCAGTATATGGTCTAATACTCTTCTACACCTTTAATACTTTTTAGTTTCCTAGCATCTAGGAAATACCTTTTTCATTTCCTTTAGTAAAAAGGATTTTTACGTTTGTTCTTTTCTCTTGAAAAAAGTGGAGGAACTTAGGACATTTAAAATAATATCTTAAATGCATGTTTTTATTTCTATTGTTAATTTTTATCATAAAAAAAGAAGAAAGGAAGCCTGAGTAATGATGAGCCAGTATAGCTTATGCCATTTAAGTAAAGCCCATCTGGTATTGAGATTTGTTATTCTGAAAACATTTCCTTAATAATCACAATGATTATTACTCCCAACTGTTAACAGACAGTATGGTATTCTTACTTTTCCCCCTAAGATTAATATTAATTATATAACTTAAAAATTTGGTCTTTATATCAGTTATATGGGTGATACAAATCTTGACAGTGGCTTTAAATTAATGAAGTAATGTAGAGGTAGACTTGGGACACTATCTTTTATACATACAAAACCACTACAGAGTTCTAATGTTGAAAAAGGGATTTTACCCATGATCCACTGCATATGACCCCTGGAAACAATTTTATTGAGTTGGATTCAGTTTACAATTTGGTGTACTTTCAAAAGAGACAAGTAAATGTTTATAATCTTCCAATACAGAGAAGTCTTATTGTTCTAATAAGACATGACATATTCTCTGAAATGTTTCTAGCATCACTTTAAGTTGAAAAAGGAAAAGATATAAATAATGTGACAGTTCATTGGTTATCCCAGCTAGTCAGTATTAATTTAAGCTTTGTTAATCAAATTTCTGTATGTTTTAGTCACCTTTGTATTTGATAGATAATAATTCATAGTGACCCACCATTTCTTTTCTACTTGAGCTGTTCTGTTTTCTACATTGTTGATAATACTACAATAACAGTTATAGCCAGGCATTGTAACTCATGCTTACAACCTCTGTGTTGAGAGACTTAGACAGGAGGATCATTCTGAATTTGAGACTAGTCTAGGCTACATAGTGAGCTCTAGGTCAGCCTGGACTGCAGAGTAAGAACCTGTCTCCACAAACAAACAGACCAACTCACGGTTATATTTACTTAGATACTAATACATGTTAGTGAACATTTAAAAACAATGCAAATGTATAAACTCTTCCTTGATGTCCATCATTTTAGAAATACCTGTTTTTCCCTCTACTCTCAAATTAATACATTTTCCCTCTACCATTAATACAGATGCTCATTTTCCACCTTGAGTTGTGGTCTTTCTTTCCTAACTCCTGTTTCCCAGAGGTGTTACCATCATCTCATCTCTCC